TACGCGCGGCAGGGTCTGTATCGGCAGAGGGACTGGTAAGGATTGGTGCATGGCAGTGCGGGAAGAGCACGGAACTGACGTCGGGTTTGTGGCTGGTGTAGCCGCCGGAGGCAGAATCGCGGCTCCGAACCTCACTGGCACGCGCACGTCGGGGAACGCCGCCACTGGCTTGCTTTCAACCACCATCCTCGCGCACTGAGCTAAATCTATTGGAAGGCGTGCTTCTAGGCAAGGCACGAAATCCTAGCGCACAGATCTCCGCTCTCCCAAGTTGAACACAAGCTTTTTACGAGCGATTGTAGAGCCACAGGTTAGACGCCTGCCAGCTGCCCTTCGTGCCGTTACTAGGGGTCAGTTCTCTCTAGTAATGAAAGGCCTGTCCGTAGCATCCGATGAGTGCGGTATGCGCCTTGGCCACATCGGTTCATTGGTGGCATGCACCATGTGATGATCAGCGCTCGCGCTTCCTTGGGCGCTTTGTGTCGAAGCTCTTTCTTTCAGCACCGCCGCCTGTATTTTTTCGCTTTGAAAGTTGACACGAGCCTACTAGCGAAAGAGCCTCCTTTGGCGTGTGGCTCTCTTTGTGCATGGCGATGGCCCGGTACTTAAGCCAGGCGCTTATGTGGGTCGAGATCTACATTCTCGGTGTCCGTCTCCGTCTGCCATCTGCCATCTCCCGTCCTTTCCGCTTTTCGTCATGGAGTCCCTATTCCCTACCCCGTATGTTCATCAACGCGCATTCATCTTCCAACGACATACTGACTTGAATCCCAGAATCCTGCACGACTTTGACAACTGGAATTTGTGTGCCCTTTCGTTCCTCCACTCCGTGGGCGTTGCTGATGGAGGTCTCAGCGATATCTTTGCAGGCAATGACATCGTCAACGACGACAGCTGGCTGTGGTCCGACACGGGGCTCATCACTGACGGAGCCCTACTCGCGGGAATGGACCCGGTGCTGGCGCCGGCGCCCACCCAGGATGTCCCGATGCCTGAGACCCGCTTGGACGACACATTGCCATCCTCCGAGGAGTTTCTGTAAGTGAAACCACTCCATCCTTATCTACTTGTACTGAATCTTGCCTTTAGTGCGGCGCTATGCGCGGCAGCGGCTGTACCGGAGAATGGTGGCATCGACCCACTCGCATTGACCAAGTGGGCACTTCTCTCTGCTCGTGTTCTGCGCGCACTCACCACGTCACTCAGTGGCCGGCAGGTGCAGGTTCACCCGCAACCGGTAACGATGACTCACGTTGCGCCTACGACACGCACCGACATACCCCTCGTCGAGAACCGACGCGTCTCTATCCCTAAACTCAACCACCTCCCAGCGCCAACCGCGCCTGCGCGTCGCCGCAGCCGGACCGGTTCCATCGCCGCTCTGAACCGGCAAGCGCAATGGTACGTCTCCATACCAAACTTGTCTACCTCAAGAGTCTTAGCGTCATTAGGTCTGGGCAGCCAAAGTCGCCCCATGACGCGACTTTTGGGCGCCGCGCGTCTATCACCTACACCCACTCCCGGAAGCGCAAGCATTCCATCTGCGATGTGCCTTTGCGTCGGACCGCCGCGCCTCGCGCCGGACCTTCTCGCCGGCCACAACCTCAGGTCGCGCACCACGCTGCATACCACCCGCAGCCGCCACCGCCCGTTCTCCCCACTCCCGACCTCATTTACCCCCGCCTCTCCCTTTCTTGCGACCTACTCAACCTCGACCTTCCCCCGCCCGCGTTGCCGCTGGAGCTCCCGGTCGTCCCGCTTACTCTTCCGGAGAAGTTTGAGGACCTGCCCGTGGCGGCTCAGAAGGCTATGATCAGCAAATATAAGACTCCGCCGGCCGTCACTTGCGGTTGGGCAGGCTGCCAGGCTCGCATCGTGCCTACCCGCCCTTCGCTCCGGGACCATCTCAACCGGTGCCACGGCGGTCGCCCGACCCCTCCGCGCGCCGCCGATAATGACGGTGCTGCGAACGAGCTTCGCATTAAGTGCGAGTGGGGCGCGTGCTCTCAGTGGGTGCAGTGGGGAGGGATGTCGAGGCATCTGCTCAGCCATGTGTGCCCAAGCAGCGGGCATTGCATGCTCTGCGGCGGATCGTTAGGACGAGCGGATATGGTCGAACGGCATATCAAGAGCTGCTGGAAGCGTCTTGGGACGGAAAGGGTAGGTATGAAGTTGAGGGAGTTGGGGATGTTGGAGAAGGTACTTAAGGCGCCCGTTAAGGGGGATGGGGAGGAGAGGCCGAAGAAGCGCGCGAAGAAGGCGTAGAGGGCCTCGTTTCACGATCACTCTGTAGCATACTTTCTCGAACACTCCCTTTGTACATAGTTACGACCTCATGAACTTTTCTCCCCTTCATTACGTGGACGCATCGCGCACGCTGAGAATCCCCTTGATCGTAGGACGACAACTCACGTGGGCGCGTTTTCAGCTGGCGAAGCGCGTCTTCCGCGTTCGCTCGCACTCCGAGTCCGAGGTCTCTTGCGTCCTCCGCCCATCTCGACACCTGCGCCTCTGCATTATGCCGCATCCACTCGTTGTCCCATTCTTTGCTGCGGGCAAAGAGCCGCTGCCTCCGGGTTACACTGAAGAGGACCGGACAAACTTGATGCAGGCTCAGAAGTACCAGACCATGATGCAGTCTGGGATGGAGAGCTGTGTGGCGAAGACAGTGATTGCTGGTGTTGGTGGTACGTTCTGGGTGTAATCCATTTTCGCTGGAATTTAGGCTGATCAATACATAGGATTCGCACTGGGTGGATTCTTCTCCCTTATGTCCGCTTCATTCGCGTACGAGGACCCATTATCTCGCTCGGTGACTTCAACAAGTCATGCGCAACGAGCGCGAGATATTTTCAAGGAGATGGGCAGAGGAATGTGGACGAGTGGAAAAGGTTTCGGTAAAGTGGGAGCCTTGTTTGCGGGTATCGAATGCTGTATAGAGTCGGTAAGTACTATGATATTCGACATCCCCGCTTGAAGCTTATACTATGCCTCAGTATCGTGCGAAGAATGACATGGTGAACCCCGTTGCTGCTGGATTCCTTGCCGGTGGTGTTTTGGCACGAAACTCTGGGCCAAAAGCTGTAGTCGGTGGTGGTATCGCGTTCGCTGCCTTCTCCGCAGCAATAGACCTCTTCTTACGAAGAGAAACACCGGAGTAAGTCCCCATACACTCACGTTTCCTTGATAATCAAGCTGATTGGTCCTCTAGTGACGACTGATATATCGCTCATGGATGTAATTTATCTGCACAATGCTTTGTATACACTACCCACACACTGCTCCTCCCAGTAATCTCACCCTTTGAATACCTGCTATGTCCTGTCACGCGTACATACTACCTCAATACAGCTAGACTCGCTCGTCATCGACGAGCAACAGCAGTTTGTGCCGGTGAATGGCTTAGCCGACGCGTCAATCCGGCGGACGCGTGTGGCGTGACCGCGTTCAGAAGGCGCCCTGTCTGCTTGTTCCCTGCGTCCATCTCGGCAGGCCAAGCTCGCGATGCTGCGCGCCACTGTCTTGAGATCCTGTCGTACACCTCTACTCGCACAACCTTGCCATGGGCGTCTATACTCTACCACCCTTGCCTCGTCGGTCGTGACACGTGCGACATCGTGCGCAGGTCTGACACAAACATTCTTCACTTCTCAGCGTCGCGGAAATGCCGCACTGGCCTCCAATGTGGCACCGTCTGCCGCCCAAGCAGATCCGAATGCCGTCTTTGCTGGACCAATACTCTACGAAGGTCCCCTGGCCAACACATTCCGCCGGTTGAAGATGTTTTCGCTGGCTTCTCTCTCGCTTTCCTTCGCCATGGCTCCCATCATTCTCACCGTGACGTCGACTCTTCCAATGCATGCACGCATAGCTCTGGCAGGGACAGCTGTCTTTACTAGCGGCATCTCTACCGCTATGGTTGCATGGGCAGGCAGGCCCTACGTCGTGGCACTGCGTAGACTAGGTGGCGCACCGCATACCGAGGGACATGTACCAAACGACCATACACCATCCCACAACGACCTCACCCCCTCCGGCGTAGAATTTGAGACACTCACAATAACCATGCGCACCCTTCGCACGAGGGTGTACGACCCGGTATTCCTGGCCGACACACGCCGGCCGTTCGCGAAATGGGAGTTGGCTGTGATCGTGCAATTGCCCGAGGCAGAGGCGAGGGAGGTGGTGCCGGGCATGGAGGAAACTGTTGCGGAGACGTTTGATAAGGATGGGAAGGTTATGGGAAGGTGGATTGTCAAGTGGGGAGAAAAGGGAGAGGGCATATGCAGAGGGCAGGGCTGGATCGTCAGGTAAGTCGGTTCTACCGTTGACTGGTGTCCAAGGGCTAACATGTTGCTAGACATTATAATGTGCAGGAGGATATGCTTCCCGCGCCCATACGATGATGTCGTCTGTGTGACTCTTGTGCATGTATATCATTGCGTTGCAGAGACCTTCGGGTTCAGTGCTTTAGAGACGCCTTGTCATTAGGCGTTTGAAGATATATATATCCATACCATTACTATATAATGCAGTCGCGCTCATAAGGGAAAAAATATTGTTCTCATAGGTGGGCATGTAAAGGGACGAGCGTTGTGCACAATAGATTGGTTGACTGAGAAATCAAAACAACTCCCGCTTAGCTCAGTGGTAGAGCGCTTCACTAGTAATGAAGAGGTCAGTCGTTCAAGTCGGCTAGTGGGAAATCATTCGGTCCGCAATGTTTTTTAAATCATCGATTGCGACACCCAGGCCGAAAGGTGGTGAGGACACGACTGATATCTGCAGTTTGCGCGGCAAGCACAAGAGGGTAGTTTCTGGTAGTCCGCACCCGAGTTGTCTGCGCGCGCGTTTGCCAGTGGCCGCGGGTTGTATGCAACTGGTCCAGAACATCCATGTGCTCGATTCACTCCGTCCCATGTACTGTGTGATGACAATCGCGACAAACGCAGACACCTCTATTGGAACTTTGAATATAAAGCTGGTCCGTAGACGTGATAACCCGGGGGACCGTGTGCGTTGGAGGATGGTGCAACGGAGCGGGCATCTTGGTGCGCGCTGGCGCCACCCTTGTCAGAGTCACCCTCCTTATCATGCCAAGGACGTTGCACTCAGGCGATGTAATATCTACCCTACCGAGCGATGACCTCGATAGATCGATATCAGGTTCAGGATGCAAATCCTGTTGTGCGTCATTCCTCACCCGAAAATACTCGTTCCCATGTAACTGTGTTGAGTATTCAGCACTCGCTGACGGCCATTGAATGCCCCTGGTCGGTCACAAGCGGTCAGCCATAGGTAGGCGCCAGCGAGAGTCGGCACGCCAGCGCTCTAGCCGGCGCCGTTACCCGATGCGTTGTACTCTAGCTGGCAGAAAAGCTCGGGAACGACTCCAGAGTTCAAACGTTCGTTGTTTGCGCTATCATGCTGTGCAGCTCGTCATTCTACTCATTCAGATTCTCGCTAGACATCCACCCTCCGAGCAGACCTGTGTCAGACTATAGAAACCCACATCAAACGCGCGGTAGAATGGCGCGCCGGCAGTCTGGTTCTTCCGTCGGAAGCGTTTGCGCCCCAACTGGGCCCTATGCTACCCGCCTCGTTAACCTATTGCGCGGCGCAAGCACCCTTGCAGCTCACATATAAGCGCGGAGCTAGGAGTATGCAGAGCTCAGCAACCACCGACTCACCACTCATCGACTTCAATCCCGATCCCGCCCTTTGCAATGTCCAGCTGCCCTAGCAAGCTCTTCAGCAAGCTCTTTGGCGAAAGAGTAACTGAAGCTACTGCCCGCCCAAGCGTCGTCGACGTGTTGATCGTATGTCATCTTTCATATGCTCATGTCCGTCTGCATCGGCACTCACTACCAACTTTACGCAGGCTGGTGCTGGCCCGATTGGTCTTTTAGGCGCCGTTGCGCTCGCTCAGAACGGCGTCTCTGTCCGCATCGTCGAAAAACAGTCCAGTTTCAACATCGGACAACGTGGCGCCAATATCATGGTGAGTTCTCCCACGGCGCCTGCGAGTCGTTACATCAGTGCCTAACGAATATCATCTGCAGCCCCGCTCTCAAGAGGCCTTCCACTTCCTCGGCGTTCTGAACGACTTTCTGAAAGTAGCCGGCCCCGGATATGGCGACATGAGGCTCTACGATCCTGAAGGCAAGGTGGTTAAGGACACAGTCTTCAGGGAGAAGTCAGAGGCGACGCCGGAGATACCCATCGTGAGTTATCAACATCCTCTTTTAAACCCGCGCTCGGTGGCTGACGTGTCGTTTGTATCTAGCCCAACCCTATTGCTATCGGTCAGAACACGCATGTTGAGATCTTGATGAAGCATCTGAAGGCGCTTGGCGTCGAAGTCGAGTTCGCCACGGAGATGGTCGGCTTTGATCAGGACGATGCTGGCGTGAACGTTACACTCAAGACTGGAGAACGCGATGAGAAGGTCAGGGCGTCATTCTTACTCGGCACGGATGGAGCAAAAGGTATCACGCGGCGTACAGTTGGCATACAGTTCGTCGGGAGGACAGACGAGACGAAGGCTGTGATCGGCGACTTCGAGCTCTCCGAAGGAGGGGACTCAGCCCCTCTCGACAGGAGCGTACGTCATACTTTATACTTGCATGTCCCATTATACTTATACTGACCCGCTCCTGTCAGCTCATGCATAATTTTGCTGACGAAAGGAAGAACCGCATCGTCGCTCGCCCTGTTCACGAAGACGAACAGCTCTACTTCTTCCTGATGACCGGTCCCGACCTCGATACGCATCGCATGGCCACCGACGTCGAATACCTGCTCGAGGAGATACACCGCATCACGAAGTGCAACACCCTCGAAGTGCCTAACATTCGTCACATCGCAGAGTGGCGGCTCAACGAACGAGTGGCTGATCACTTCAGGGTGGGCCGTGTCGTCATCGCTGGAGACGCGGCGCACTGTCACAGTCCGACTGGTGGGCAAGGCATCAACAGTGGCGTTCAGGACATAGTACGCGCTACATTCCGTACCCTGAAGTTTTCGATACTGAGAGTCTCTTTCCATCTTCAGATGAATGTCACATGGCGCCTAGCCTCGATCGTCAAAGGCCTCTCGCCGCTCTCTCTTCTGGACTCCTACGATGAAGAACGTATCCCTGTCATCCGCGAGATGCTGCGGATGACATCCAATCTCGCTCAGCTCGTCTTCAAGGCCGGAGACGACAACGCCTGGCACCGCCCGCTCTCGGGCCGTCAGCTGGGCGTGCACTACCGCTGGAGTTCGATCGTACTCGACGAGCTTCGCGAGGGGGAGGGCGAGCTTGTGCTGGAGAGCACGAACATTGAACCTGAGGACGTGTATGGATCTGACACGCCGGACCGGATTCACGCTGGTGATCGCGCGCCTGATGCACCGGCACTCGTGCACCGTCAGACAGGCGAGGAAACGCGGCTTTTTGACATCCTCAAACCGATCCATCATACCATCATCGTCCTTGCCCCGGTCGTGCTCAACGATGTGCTCGCGGCCATTGCGAAGTACAAGGAGGGCAGCATTCACATTATCGCCGTCGTTACTGAAGCCGATCAGACGCCCAGCGCCGAGGTTGATCTGTACACCGACACACACGGGCATGCTCATCGCGCATACAGTGCAGCTTTGGGAGTGAAGATCGTCGTCGTTCGTCCGGACGGCGTGGTCGGAGGGCTGCTGAAGGGCGCTGAGGGAGTGATCAAGTACTTCGACAAGGTCTTCATTTGATACATGCATTCCTCCATCTTTCTATACAATGACTGCCGTGTACGATTCGTATACATAGTGCCGATACATCGCGGACTTACAGCATTCACGCGCCTGTCTCAGCGGCCGCAGACTCTTGCGACTCTCCCCAAGTATCGTCAAGCTTCCACATTCCAACGCACGTTGGCTCCGTCCCAACGAACCCCAACTTTCTGTACAGCGCTCTCCCTGGCGCGCCCGCCAACAATGATATGAGCGCATGCGGCGGCGCGCTTTGTTTGATGATCGTGAGCATGCGGCGCAGCAGTGCTTCGCCCAGACCTTTCCGACGGTGCTCGACTTGCACGGCCATATCGGCGATGATGAAGTACCAGCCGCCGTCGCCTATTGCACGGACCATGCCCACGACGTTTGGTTCTGGTGAAGTCTCGGACGAGGGTAGCGTGGGCGGTGTATAGACAACGGTACACCAGGCCCAGCTACCGGTAATAGCGCCTTGTCCTTGTTCAGGTGTTTTGGTGGTGAGGCCGTTTAGTTCGCGTAGAGTGAGATAGGTCTCTAGGGCGGGCGGGGCGTCGCAAAAAGCATATCCAGGCGGGAGGTTGTATGCTTCTGCCATATGATAGCCGATTGATATGGAATTTCGGCTGAGGGTAGGGCTGGCCAGGAGTGGGAACGCTCGAGCTGAGAGTGCTGCGCTTGTGATCGCAATCCTCAGGCCCTCGACTCGCATCTGCGCTTCAATGTGTATATATGCATTACAAGGACAGACCGGAACGGTACTCAGAGAAGGGTTGAGATGCTGATGTTAGCACTGGCACCATACTAGACCATAGAGATGCGATGACTCGCTTGAGAGAGCGGCCTCACAAGCCCTTTTCTTCAGCTTACCTAGTCTCCAGATGCAAACCCCTCAGCAGAAGACAGTCGTTCTGCTTCAAGCTTAAGTACCCGCCTTGATTCGCAGCATGACTCGTGACGGAGCGCTGAGGCACCGCGAACAAACCGCGAACGCCATTGCGATAAAAGCTCATTTGTGGAGACTCGTGACAAACTCGTGAAGTGCTCTCGGAGAGAGCCGGGCAGGAGTCGACCGCGTGCTCATCAACCAAGTTCGGCATTTTCCGTTTCGTTCGCCACGCCAGGCCGAATCCCTTCCCTCTTCGACCTCACCTCAGCCCTCCCTTTTCTTGGGCTCGCGTGCGATGGATGCACCAATATATTACTCGACGGCGGAGTATATCGAGACTGTACGTGTCATCTGGAGCGTAAACGACCTCGATGCCAACGACGTAGACAGGACACAGGGAATAAAGTCTCTCGGCGCGCTGCGATTTCGGGTCCGCAAAATATCATCCTCGGTGGCAAGACCATAATATCTAGTGGCGCTATCATACGAGGAGACCTCAAGCGTGCTGGGCCAGGTCATTCTGTAGTGATCTCCCTGGGTCGCTATTGCCTCGTCGCTGAAAACTGCATCATGAGGTGCGCTGATCCAACGCCTTATTTTCTGCTCCATATGCTGACCAGCGCAGGGCAGGCCACCTTACAAGACCTACCGTGGCGCGTTCAACTACTATCCGATGAAGATTGGTGATCATGTTCATATTGGCGCCGGTTCGGTCGTTGAAGCCGCAACCGTCGGCAACCACGTCTTCATTGGCAAGAACTGCGTTATCGGCAAGTTTACCATCATCAAGGACTGCGCCAAGATCTCGGACGGTGCTATTGTACCGCCCAATACGGTCGTACCTGCACACGCGCACTTCGCGGGGAACCCGGCGAGGTTCGTCGAGGATTTGCCCGAGAGCACGCAAGAAATTGTTGAGGCAAGGACAAAGACGTACTATGGTCGTTTCCAGCCTATGCCGCGATGATACGTCCCATCCGGTCTATCATGTATGTGCTGAGGTCTTATTGGTCGGTGAGTACTTTTCTGCATCTCTGGGTCTCGAAAGGATGTCTACAATAGAAGTCAAGCACGGAGTCGCCAATGGCGGCGCTGTCGATATTCACTATTATCTGATCTCTCCCACCGTGTTCGTGATCAAGCTCATGACTGACTGTCATTCTCTAGAATCAACTGGTGGAGCTGGCGCCCGTCATGTATCAATCGGTCTCCCTTGTGTATATTCATTCAACTGTACATTTTACGCTTTCGTTGCTTTCGATCTCGCTATGTCACCCATCCTGTTTACTATCCATCGCAAGGAGACTATCAGAGTTGTGTACGAACCAAGTTGAGACCATGCCGACGACGACATCGCGCCGTCCGTAGATGAAGCTCCCACTACCGATGTCGATGGACGCGAATCAGTCAAGTGTCGCGCTTCGGGGAGCGCTCAGTGGTGCATGGCACAGTATGCTACAGTCTGATGTACAATTCTAGCTACTATACAATCTATACTTCTTCGATCTTGTCGTCTTCGTCGTCCTCTTCCTCTCCACCTTCGATGACTTCGACAACCCCATCCTTGGCCGTCGACTCGCTTTCGTCTCTCTTGAGCAGATTGACCAACCGATCAATATGAACCAACACCTTCTCGTCCGCCTCTTGCTCGTGATGAGCGCGCACAATCTGGTACACGCCGTTGGTGCGCAAGTAATCGCGACCCCAACGCGTAGTGCAAAGCAACAGGAGGGCCTCGACCAGTAGAAGACGTAGGGCAGGGTCGGCTTCGCGCTTTTTGGTCGGCGGCAGGAACTGAAGAGATTCAGGGAGTGCTTCTTGGTCCTAAGAATGGAAGTCAGACTCCGGCCAACAGAAAGGAATGGACGTTCTTGGTACCTCTAGATCAAACTCTTCTGGTCCGGCTAAAGGTAGAAGAATGTACGGCAAGCAGTTCATGCCGGGAGCCTTTTCCTCCGAGGGAGGAACGGCGACGGTAGTGGTATCTGGCGAGAGCATCGCGAGATGAGCCTGCTTGATGAAGGTGCAGTTCCTATCAACGCAGATGAATGAAAGAGTTTATTAAGTTCGGACAGGACGCACTTGATACACGATACGACGCCACCGCGCCGAATGAGGTCGAGATGCTCAGTGAAAGCAACCAACTTCGCAAGGGGGTACTCTTTTGTCTTCTCTCCCGACTTGATGAGCGGGTTGAAGTCTTCCGGAGTGACGAAGTACTGCCGACCGGTGGGTGTCTATACGATACTTAGTCAGGGTATCATTGCAGTCATGCAGGGAAAGCATGCTTACCGCCGACAGATTCGCGAAGACGCTCGCCAAGAAATGCAAGTCACCCTTGCGCGACTTCTCCAACTTTCCTCCTTCACCGAGCACCTGCTTCGTTGCGTCTACAAACGCTTCAACTAGCAAAGGCATAGCTCGAAGCTCGACCTCCTCTCCACTCGGATAAGGCACAGGTGCAGGACAGCTCGCTGCGCGCGATTGTGTAGGGTAGAACGCGCCGGGGTTTTTCTCGTCTGGGATGACCTTGATCTTTAGCGACAGGAGTGCAGAGCATACAGCATGTGAGGATGTGAGGTTTGAGAGCATCATAGAAGCAAGATCTGCGCATGTCGCAGGAGGATACTATGCGTGTATCAGTCTCGGGGATGTGGTACCAGTGAGCAATGGAGATTATCACCAAGATATACGAGACGAGGAACGTCAGGAAGTTCGGCTCTGATAGAGAAGCCACGAGCATCGGAGAGTCAGAGAGATTGACGAGAGCACGGAAAGCGTCATGTGCGATGGCCTAGACGTGAAGTATGAGCACACGCTAGCGTTCAGTCTAGGATCTCGTACATGCCAGGTTATCCCTGCACAGTAGCTTCAAGTCTCGGATGACCTCTGGGTCTTTTGGCTTCGCCAGCCCGCCTCCAGAGATACCGGTGAAGAATAGCTTGCGATATGGTGCATCTTGAGGTGTTTGGGCCAAGAGGTTTTGGAGCGCGAGTTGGCGCACTGCCGGGTTTTTGTCGTGCAGAAATTGAAGCAGCTATCTGCGTTTGAGCTTCACGGCAAGTCCCGTAGCACGTGGCGGAGTCGCACCTCCTGGTACTGAGCCTCCATAACTTAGCCGATGGTCGTGGTCAATGATGAAGCTGGTCTTCAAACTTTGCTTTCAGATCTCTAAGCCGGCTCGGATATTCCGGACCGCATCTCCGAGCACGCGCAACGGCGTCACGCGCGTTTCGCCTCCCGCTCGCCACGCGCTTTGACCGCGAACCACGGCCATCTCTCGAGGTGCAGGGTCTTCCCATTCACCCATCCACTCGCTGCCTCACACTCGGGAGACTGCAAACCTGGCTATCATGACATATAACGTGACTCGCGAGAATAAGGCTCTACTTGAACGTCACCGCAACGCGCCTCCTTCGCTCTCTGTGCAGCTGCACCATGATCACTGGACATTGAACTCTGGATCCAAGTTCCTGTATACTAGTCCTGCGGCTGTGAGTAACAGGTGCATTCCCTGACTAAGGGCTGATATATACGCGTCTGTAGGCTTTCTTGGACGATATTCGCGCGTATAGGATCCCCGTGGATCTACTACCGCTGATTGATTCTGCCGGCGTTCCCTTCTACGAAGGTGTGTGGTTCCCCACTCCGCTACTTCGAGTGATTGAGGATGCGTAGGATGTCTTGTTGTGGAGTTACAGGACTTCCGCGAACCACCCTCCAATAAAGATAAGAAAGGCGACGAAGTCAAGGTCAAGACTGAAGGTGGTCCTGTGTCCTCGCGTGTTGTACTTCGGTCAAACTCAGAGTCCTCGTGGGCGGATCTGCGGTTACTCAATGACAAGCTTGATAATAAGTGGACGGATCAAGAGGCACTGGAAGTAGAGGCGAAAATCCTAGTGCGTGCAGTCCATACATGAGTAGCACTCGGAGTATCTTACTGATCATGTATGGTATAAGGTGGCCACCGCTCCTCCATTGTGTTTGAACCCGGACCCGAATCTTGGGCGGATGGCGAATACTATGCAACGAGTCTCTACACCACGTACTCCACCACCCTTACGGCCGCAGAAACGGAAGCTCGAGGCGACCGAAGCGGATGAACGCGCCGCTGCCCGGAAGGTCAAAATTGCGCAATACATGGACCCCACGAGAACCCGCACCAACAAACCGAGGTATTTTTTGCATTTGGGATTTTCGCATGTGCGCGTGCTCACACGCCATCCCGTAGTCAACACTTCTGGGACACCATCGCCCGTATCCGTGCCGAAGCTAAAACACGGAAAGATCAATCCGATCAGCAGCCTGCTACCGAGGGCGATGCAGCGGGGGTAGCCACCGAACAGATGTCGCCGCCTCAGCCTCCAGCTACGCCTGCGCACATCGGGGCCGACCCAGTACAAAACTCGACGCCTGTTAAGTCGGAAGCAGCACGCTCTGAAACGGGCACTCCCGCGCCAGCCCCTTTACCACCAACGCGCGCTACCCCCCAAGCTGCAGCCGCTGCCGCACTCCAAGCGGCGAATCGTCAGAACACGCCTCGGCCTGGGTCTACTGTACAGAACCCTGCGGCGGCTGCATACGCTGCTGCACAGGCTCAACAGGCCGCTGCAGCTGTACAAGCCGTTCATGCAGCCGCTATATCCCGCCCCGCTACGCAAGCACCCCCGGCGGCGGCGGGAGCCACGCCCGCCTTCGACATGCCTAAATTAACCCCTCAACAGGTGCACCAGCTTCAAGCGGCTGCGCGCCAACAGCTTTCCATGCGATACAATGCGAGATTGCCTCAATTTCGCCTCTTGTTGGAGAAGAAGAGTAGTGGCCAGACTTTGAATCAGGAAGAAAACCAAGTGCTTGACTTCTGTAATCGTTGGCAGAGGGCGGAGAGTATTCTGACGGATGCGGGTAAGAGCGGGGACCCGGCGCAAATTGCCGACGCGCAGAAGCAGTGCCAGCTGCTTATTGGAAACCATGTAAATGCCCAGATGAAGACAATCTTGTTGACACAAATGGCGAGGAAACAGGCACTGGCGCAAGGACAGGGTCAAGGAGGACAGAAACAGGCGCAAGGAGCGCAGGCGCATGGTGGGCAGACGCCGGCCCCGGCGCCTCCTGCTCAGCCTGTCGCACCCCCTCCCGCTCCGACTCCTGCACCATCAGCCACGCCTGTCATGGCGCATCCTCAGGCGCCACAGGCCCATCCCCAGCCAAATCAAGCACAGTTGCTTCAAGCTCACGCGGCGCACTTGGCCGCTGCTCAGATGGCCGTGCAGGCTCAGGCCGCGCAGGCTCATGCACACGCGCCGACGCAACCTCCTCAGCCTCTAACAAACGCTCAGCAGCAGCAGCAATGGGCCTATGTGCGCTCGTTGCAACAGCAACAACAGCATCAGCATCAACAGGCGGTCCAAGCCCAAGCCCACCTCCTCGCCGCTCAGAACCACGCTGGCACACCAGCACAGGCGCACGCACAGCTACCCAACGCTGGCGGTATGGCGCCGAGCCCTATGTTTGCGGCCGCGCGGCCGGCGGCACAACCTGGCGCGTCGCAGAGACTCGACCCGTCACAAGCGGTACAGATGTCGAATATATGGGCCGCGTACAATCGCAACCCACATGAGCCGAGACTTGTGGCGTACTTGCGGCAGAATCCAACGGTAGCAAGTTGGGTCGCCCATCAGGACATGATGAGGCAGGGGGGGAGAGGTATGCCGCCTGGGAGATGAGAATGAGTTGTTGGCCGGTGTTCCATCTGTTGTTGCTCTTGGTCGTTCATTGTCGCTATCGCTCTTTGCTCGCATAGGCATTCTCCGCTCCGTCTCTCTTGCTGCCATGCTCGATGTCATCACTGCTATTACTACTGTTACCCTTGTCATTGTACGATCTTGAGATGCTGCTTTCCTGTCTTTCACGTAGTCATGTATAGTTATTGCCCACATTTTCTTGTATTTTGGCTCGGCGTGAAGATCGTAGTATATACTCAGATGAGAACAGGTGCCACAGTGGCATTTGAGAGAGGTATATGCTGGTATACGTAGCAGCTTAAGAGCGCTCCTGCCGCCACCAGGTACTACTGGTGAGCTTCAACATCGCGAGGTCGGACTTCCGATGCTTCCGGGCCGTTCTCTGCCTTACCCCTCCGCGAAAGCTTGGCCGACGGCAGTGAAGCCGGTACCGAGTCGGATCCAGTAGCTACTTCTGACTGGACTAGTATAGATGTAAGTAAGTAGGCATCGAAGCCCGGAGAGGAACGCGAGACGAGTCTCGGAGCACGGATTTGAATGATCCACCCGCGCACGTGGGATTCCCGCGATGGGGCCGATAGAAAAGCGCTCGGCGATCATCCGCGTTTCTTCCTCCCTCCCTTCTTGTCTCCCTCTCTCCTTCCTCCTCTTAGACAGAGGTACGTTGCATCGGTGGAGATTATAGCGTAGGAGAGCGCTAACGAAGTTTACAGGTTGTAATAGATAGACTGATAGAAGGCTTCTCTATCCTTGTTGGAGGCGCCGCATCTAGACAAAATTTCCATACAGTCTGCAAAGGTGTGTATGCGCTTCATACGCTTCTACATTGCCAGGCTTCGGTGTGCACGGCGTTTCTGTAGTCCAACAAGCTTCTTCGTCTTCTATTTGAATGCCAGATCAAGCGCTCAGGGTACAGATCTAGCCGCTAGAGCACTCGAGCGTCGAACGCGCGCACCCTCGTGCAAAGCTTGAGCCTCTGTCGTTTGATCAGCTGCGCATGTCTCTTTATCTTTCGAGGAGTTATCTGTGACCTCGCGCACAATGTGCCGCTGGATGGGAGGATCGATGCCTCGCGTGTTATGGCTGTTGCGCCCTGCACAGATCCATAAAGCGTCGTTTCAGATCCCAAGTCGTCTTCGCCCGCTCTCCCTCGAACCCCACGTTGTATACCAGATCACTGATTATTGCTTGAGAATATAGACATGCCCGCTCTCGCCGCTGCCCCCGCACCCTCTGCAGCCGACCTCAAGGCGACGCCGAGCCCCGCCGTCGAGGGCCTTCTCGTCGCCGATAAGGCCGCCCGCGCATCTGCTGTCGAGAGCTTTGTTGCCCTCGTCGAAAAGGACGGCCCCGCTGCCATCAAGTCCAGCAACTTCACCGCCGGCGTCATCAAGGCTCTCGGCGACAAGAAGTCGCCCGCCGCACGTGAGGCCGCCGCGGATGCCGTCCGCGCCATCTCCGAGTCCTCCGCCGTCAAGTCGCTCGAGCCGTTCTTCATCGACTCTGGCGTCTACGCCGCTCTCCTCGACGGCTTTGCCGACAAGACCCCCGCCGCACGCACTGCCGCAGTCGCCGCTGTCAAGGCCTTCGTGAAGAACTCGAACCCATGGGCAGCTGGCCTTGTGCTTCCCGCTCTCTTGCACGAGATCCAGACGGCTGGCAAGTGGCAGATCAAGACGGGCTCGCTCGAAATTCTCGACCAGCTCGTTGCCTCGGCCGCTGCTCAGATCGCCAAGCTCACGCCCGAGATCGTACCCATCCTCGCCGACGCTATCTGGGACACTAAGGCCGACGTCAAGAAGGCTGCCCGTGCTTCGCTCACGAAGGTCACATCGCTCGTCTCCAACAAGGATATCGAGAAGTTCATTCCCGCGCTCATCAATGCGCTCATCAACCCGGTCGAGGAGGTCCCCAAGACCATCCAGCTGCTCTCGGCCACCACATTCGTTTCCGAAGTAGACTCCCCGACACTCTCGCTCATGGTCCCGCTTCTCTCTCGTGGTCTTTCCGAGAAGCTCACCGCGACGAAGCGCAAGGTCGCTGTGTAAGTTTGATCTCGTGATTGGCGCTTGGAAGTGGCGCTTACATCAATCTTTCTAGTATCGTCGACAACATGGCCAAGCTCGTCGACTCGCACATCACCGTCCGCCCCTTCATTCCCAAGCTCCTCCCTGGTCTCCTCAAGGTTGAGCAAACCATCGGTGACCCCGAGGCCCGCTCCGTCGTTGGCCGCGCTATCGCCACCCTCCGCCAGGTCGGCCAGATCCCCGACGACCAGGACGGCACGGACCTTCCCCACCTCAAGGTCGCCACCGAGCAGCAGCTCGCTCACTCGCTCATTGAGATCTACAAGAAGGCTGGTGGTAACCCCATTCCGTCGGTCGCTGACGATGTCACGATCTACGTCTCCCGCCTTGCTACCAACGCCACCAACCAGAAGAACTTCGACGTTCCGGAGTGGGATACCTTCGCGCCCTACCTCGCCTTCCTCTCTGCTGTTCCCGAGCCCATCACCGTCGCTCGCGAGTGGGTTGTCAAGTCCGCTACCGAGGACGCCGATGTCGGCGAGGTTCTCGACGATGAGGAGGAGGGTGAGGATCTGTGCAACTGCCAGTTCTCGCTCGCCTACGGTGCCAAGATCCTGCTCAATACCGCAACGCTCCGTCTCAAGCGTGGCCACCGCTACGGTCTTTGCGGCAAGAACGGTACCGGAAAGTCGACGCTCATGCGTGCCATCACCAACGGCCAGGTCGAGGGCTTCCCGTCGCCCGACGAGGTCCGGACGTTCTACGTCGAGCACGACATCGACGGTTCCGAGGAGGACACCTCTGTTCTTGAGTTCATTCTCCAGGACAAGCGTGTCATCGTTTCCAAGGAGGAGATCGTCGAGACGCTTGCCTCCGTCGGCTTCACTGACGAGCGCCAGAAGCACGCCATTGGCTCGCTCTCCGGTGGTTGGAAGATGAAGCTCGCGCTTGCCCGCGCCATGCTCTTCAAGGCCGACATTCTCCTTCTCGACGAGCCGACGAACCACTTGGACGTCGTCAACGTCGCTTGGCTCGAGAACTATCTCACCGGCCTCTCCCACTGCACGTCTAGTAAGTTTCTCCTCACGCACATCCTGTCAGCGGTCACTCATCTCTCTACTAGTCATCGTCTCGCACGACTCTGGCTTCCTCAACAACACCATCACCGACGTCCTCCATCTCAACCGCTTCAAGCTCCGCCGCTACCGTGGTAACCTCGAGGCGTTCGTCAAGGCCGTTCCTGAGGCCAAGTCGTACTACACTCTCGAGGCCGCCGAGGACTACAAGTTCAAGCTCCCCGACCCGCCGTTCCTCGATGGTGTCAAGACGAAGGAGAAGGCTCTGCTCAAGATGCGCAAGGTTGGCTTCCAGTACCCCACGCAGCCCGTCCAGCAGCTCTACGACATCTCGCTCCAAGTCTCGCTCTCGTCCCGTGTCGCCGTTCTCGGGCCCAACGGTTCCGGAAAGTCGACGCTCGTCAAGCTCCTTACCGGCGAGATGGAGCCCAACAAGGGTGGTGAGGTCTGGAAGCACCCTAACCTCGTCATCGGTTACGTCGCTCAGCACGCCTTCCACCACATCGACCAGCATCTCGACAAGACGCCGCTCGAGTACATGCTGTGGCGTTACCAGACTGGTGAGGATCTCGAGGAGATGATGAAGGCCAACCGCCAGATCTCCGAGGAGGAGCAGCAGAAGATGAAGGAGGGCGCGAACGTCGTCGTCGAGGGCCAGAAGCGTGTCATCGACGAGATCGTTGCTCGTAAGAAGCTCAAGCAGTCTTACGAGTACGAGATCACGTTCAAGGGCATGTCCTCGTCCGAGAATATCTGGATGCCGCGTGACGAGCTCATCAAGCGCGGCTTCGAGAAGAAGGTCCTCGAGGTCGACACCCGTGAGGCGCAGCGCCTTGGTCTGCTCCGCCCGCTCGTTCGTCGCGAGATCGAGAAGCACATGGCCGACTTCGGTCTCGAGCCCGAGTTCGTCTCGCACAATACCATGCGTGGTCTCTCCGGTGGTCAGAAGGTCAAGATCGTGCTCGGTGCCGCGACGTGGCGCCGCCCGCACATCATCTGCCTGGACGAGCCGACCAGTACGTCTTTATCTTACTACCCAATATCGGACTGCCGCTGACATCGTTTATTAGACTACCTCGACCGTGAGTCGCTCGCTGCGCTCATCGAGGCGCTCAAGACCTTCGAGGGTGGTGTCCTCGTCATCACGCACAACCGTGACTTCTCCGAGTCCATCTGCACGGAAGTCTGGGCTATGCGCGACGGCCACCTCGAGGCGTCCGGCCACAACTGGGTTGAGGGCCAGGGCTCCGGTGCGCGTCTTGACACCAAGGCGGGTGAGGAGGAGGACCAGTACGACGCCATGGGTAACAAGATCGACAAGGCGAAGAAGGCGAAGAAGTTGACGTCTGCGGAGGCACGTAAGGCGAAGAAGGACAGGATGGCGAGGAGGAAGAGGGGCGAGGAGGTGTTCACTGATGAGGAGCTGTAAGCTACTTGTTTGGACACCGTCGCTGACTCTGTGTGCTTCTTTGGTTCATCTCGTGTAATCATCAATTTCGCTTGTACTTACTTACTCCCCCCGGCTCCCGTTGTATCGTCTTTCTCATTGTACTCTCTCATCGCCGCTGGGTGTCTACATTACGCTCGTAATGACATGCTATTCACTTCCCTCACTATTGATCGTTGGGGACGTTGAGTATATCGGGGCTTACACGGCCCGGGGACAGTGGGCGCTTGTGGCGCGTGGCCATGCGACTGAGACAAGCAAGACGCAACGCGCTTGGGTTGTTACCTCCCACCGCGACAGTGTCCTCCTGTAGAGCGACTTCATCTGGCCAATGGATCAAAAGAAGAGAAGCTGGGGAGACAAGGAAACGTGAGTAATAGATACTGGGATTTTTTTTCTTCGAGGCTCTGCCTGTTCGCCTGACGCTGACTGGTCTCTTCGTAAAGGTACCTATGGGATGCATCTTGGGCCGCAAAGCCGACGTCTATCAACCCACCGAAGAAACTCCGCGATAGCTTCGATTCAGCGGGGAAAGGGCAGAACTCTGTAAGAGACAGAAGAGCACCTACGCTACAGAACACGAGGACAGTCCTCAACTTGCCCTACAAAGCAGCCACGGGACCCGCGGTACGTCGTACAGGTTCAACCGCTTATCACCATCCTCATTGAAGCTTGTATCTCTCTTGCAGGCTGCGTCCTCATCTCGACCTCTACCGAAGCGCCGCAAGGTATTCGAGGACACTTCATCCAGGGCCCCGCCCTCCGCTCAGACACATACTCTCGAATCTTCCAAGAAAGGCCAGAGCGGGTCAATCCTGACACCATTGACATCGTCCTCTGAACGACGTAAACAACCGCCAACGACTAAGGGACCTGCGCGGTCGGAGAGCCCTCCCGAGTACTTCCACTTTACCACAACATCGGATGACCAGCTTGATGATTTGAGGACCCCTCCGCGAGTCGCCCTAGAGAAGGCTTCCGTACGGAATGTGACTACTGAGGCACCTATTGGCGCTGCCTCTGCTGAGAAGAGCTCGCATCCAACTTCAACCAGTCGCCCTCCAACCGCATCCATGGCTACACCATTTGTGCGCGACTCGCCGCAACCTACTTCAAACACGGTGCAACCAGCTTCGCCGGTCAAGTCTGAGCCCGTCTCAGTAGAGCTCCCGCCGCGCCCATCACAAGCAACGTCTGCGGCTGCATCTACGCCTACCCTCGACGGAGATGCCACCGCTCCCATGACTGCACAGACTTCTGCCGCCGCAGAAGCGTGTGACACCCAGAATGCGTCCGAACCAGCGCAGTCCACCGGGAATGATGCTTCAGCAAGCCAATCCATGCCACACGAGACCTTGGAGAAGCTGTTGAAGCTGCGTGAAAGCTCGCTCAGGAGTCTGACGGAGGAGCAGCTGCCTGAGGCGCTGCGTGTCGAGAGTGTGAGGAAGATGATTGAACGCGCTGCTGCAGATATTATGTGCTCGAGGGGCGCGGATGGGTCATCCTGAGTAGCGTTACGCCCTACTCCTTATTTCACATTTCTTGTTCACTTTCTTGTTACCGGTACTTATTCAATGGTCAGCCAGCCTGCTTTGGGAATATTGAGTTACTGTGATGCGTGACGGCGCGTGACATCACGCGTTGCTCCAGAGCGCAAGCGTGTTCGCCGGCGCGAGCGAGTTCTTCTCAACCATCATCAGCCTCGTCTCAACTTCATTTCACCAACCGGTCATCTGAGACGACGCAAGCATGAAGGATAATACGCATATGGAAAGCGAACGCCGGTAAGTCTCCTTGTACAGCTCGACCGCTCACTATGCTCACTTCCCACGCGCGTCTAGAGAGAGCCAACATCACCGCACGGGGAATCCTTGGAAGAGCGATCCAACACCCATAACCCTACCTAAAGAGAGACAGTCCCGTTTGCTGATGCCATCATTTGAAAAACTGGTAAATCATCATCTTCCGCCGCCTTCGAGGTCCTGAAGCTTATCAAGGCTTGCACAGCCAGGCATTGAAGTCATATCACCGCTGCGAGTGTACCCTACACGAAGGACCATTGATGAAAAGGTTTGTTTATTTCTGTGGCAGTACTCCTGAATTGTACTCTTAACGGATGGTTCAGGCGAATGGTTCGGATACGCGGCCTGCCAAACGGCAACGAATCGGCCGGGAGGGTGCCCTCACGACCTTGAATAGTGGATCGCGTCGTGAGCTCCCTCGCTCAGAACCGATGGATCGTCTCACGGAGTCAACTCCATCGTCCGTGCAACAGCGTGAGAGACAAGCTCCCCCGCGGGGGTCTATCAGTATCGATATCGAGTCCGATGAAGACAGGATAATGGTCCTACCTCCTCTGAAACGCAAGGATAAAGGGAAGACACCCATGCGAGTAACTACCCGCACGCCACAGGCTGGATATAGAGGGACCGCGATCATCAGCCCTGAACGTGCCGTCGCGCCGGTCGTCCACAAGGAGGCTCGACCTACGCTCGGCTCATCGAGGCTCCCCTCTGAGTCCGTAAAGCATATTTTGGACGGAGACTCTGCGTCTATCACTACACACGGTTCTGGTGGTGCCGTTCCTTTACAAGACCCGGTCGCTACTCAGAGTCAAAGTACGCAAACTGAGCCCTCACACGAGATCTCTGCCACTCCGCCGTTATCTATCGCCGCTGTCAAGACTCTACTTGACCTACGCAGAAGCGCTCTCGAGGTACTGACTGAGGAGCAGCTGCCGGAGGAATTACGCGTTGAGAACCTGAAGAGTATACTTGGACGCACTGTTGCGGGTGTCGTTGCCAGTGGAAGTAGCGGAACCTGACTTCGCATGCACCCACGTTCTTGACAAATTCAATCCACTTGCTACTGCTCACAACCTCAGACTCTTCCTGTCATACAAATACTACTACAATATCGTTCTTTACACTCGAAACTGCGGATTCACGGACTTCTCATCGCCGGCTCAACCCCACGAACATTGTTTGAACATCGCCGCGCTCTTCACTTTGATCTACATGCCTGCGCGCTCTCGCACCCTGATCGTCGTTCACTCCGGAGTTATCATACTCTGATACGCGTGGAACACGGGCCCGATACCTTCGCGACGGAGGCCATGTACTTATTTGTCTTCATCTTCACGGCTCTCATTGATGTTATGGGAGACCTGTATCATGCTGTGTGCGTCAAGGTCGACAAACTCCGGGTGTGTGCTGATGAACCAAGTCAGCGCATGACCGCATCAAACAGAAGAGACACACCCCAACTCGACGTCCAGCGGCGGGAAAGCGCCGAACTGCATCGAACGCAGATCCGACGGCGCAGTTGTTTGCCGCGATGAGGCCTTCCACCCAAACCGCCCAAGAACCATACACACGACGCGCCAGTACGAGTCGCGGGCCTCGAAAGTGAAGCCGAAGAGACCGAAGATGGCGAATGCGAGTGCAGGAGTTGACCAATAGGTGAAGTACGTTGCCACTAGACCTGAGGTGTCCGCCTCAAGCTCTGTGTATGGGAACCCAACCGGAGTCCATCCGGTATGCACGTAAGACCATCCAGGGTAGAATGGGATAGACGCATCTTGTAAGCCCTGCGTGATGAACAAGACGAGGTTGACTATGCCGATCGGCAGGGTCAGAAGTACGTCTATGCTTGCTAAAGCAAGGATCCGAAGGTGGCTCTTGTGCAACACGGTTTGGGTACTGCCTCGGAACACGGAGTTGACGTCTTTCCTTTGGAGGTAGAATGTTCGCAGAACCTTAGCTGTGATGACAAGTATGAGTCAGGTAGCCCCACGAGATACACTGATGAAACGCACGATAGTACAATGTGACGGAAATGAGAGGAGGAATGATGTTCCACAGTTGCATGAGTAAGATCGTGAGGATAGACCAGATTTGCGAGTTCGTACACCCGAATCCCTCCACTACATGAAATCTATATCCCTGGACAATGTAGTCTGTATTCTCCGTCAGTCGATGCTAGCGGCGATATCTTACAGTGACTCACAGAAGGGTCCTGCAACCACGAGAGGCACAAGAAGGCCCGATGTCCAGTCTATTGCCATGTTCCATCGTTTCTGTAGGCAGGTCAAGGATGCACGTCGCATGGAATCATGGATCAACTTGCGTTGTCCGACTGATCGATAGAGCGGAGACAGGAAATTGCATGTAGCCTTCGAGAGATGATCAAGGTCGCCATAGGTTTTACGACCGCGCAGATGAGTTCCAAATGAGTGACTCCGAGGTTGTCAGCACGGTCCATCCAGACACTTGTTCACGATCTATCGTACTCACAGATGTCACAGTAGACATACAGTCTTACTTCAAAGTTGTCCGACCAAACGATGTGGTTGATGGCATAGCCGAGATTCTCCAAGAAGAGCCAGAAACAGAGAGAGGTGACACCGAAGTTCCAATTCCGCCGGACCGCGCTCGAAATGAGCACGAGAAGCAGTAGGACGCAGGAGATGATATTGACAGTCGGCAGTAGTGGGTAGGTAGGATCGACGGCGCCCATGGTGTAGTAGGCGTCGGCCTATCCGCAAGGGGCTCGTAGATGATCTTATACCTGCAAAACCGTAGAGCATTAGCTTTGGTTCCGCACATGGTATGCCGATACGTATTGAGGTATGATCGCATAGACGATAAGGTATTTCATGCCCGCTTATTAGATCGCTGTTGGCAAACCGGACGCGCAGTAGCGTTACAAGCGGCGTCATTGGCGCATAAGGGTTAGGGATCAGCATGGAACTAGCTTCTCACACCTTTCCCACATCACAACGGGGACCTTTAGCTCATGTTGCGGTGTAAATGGAAGCGTTGAATAGCGATGATGGTCAGCGGCTGATGCGCTTTGGAGGCCTGTAGCCTTCCGGGTCGCGCTTTGGGATCTAGGTGAAACGAATCCTCGCGATACGTAGGACAGTGTTCCATCACGCGGCGATCAGGGACTGCAGCGTCTCGAAGCTATCTTGGTATCCGATGCATGCTCATATACAATCACACAAATCGTGAGCGCAAGGTGCAGCTTGGCGATGTAGTGCATATGATAGCTTGTATGGTATGTAGAGTCGCAGCAAACGTGCTACATACGCCTAGCAGATGTAGAATATCAGCCCGCTGGGGAAGACGGTAGAGCGGTTTGGCCTCCGGGTTCAGCGCTCACCATCAAACGGCGAAGTTGGATATTCAGGCGGCCGCCGCACAGTCATACTTAGAGCGTGAGATATTTTATGCAACTCGCAATGAGCGAGACACGCGGCTCCATGCATCCAGACTGCCGACGGCATTGCGTGTGCGCAGACTTGCTGTAAGGTGTCTCAGCTGCGGCCCTTCGATGCGTTATGGTTCTGAGGAAGAGCTAGTGTCTTGCGAAATGACATCGAAGTGTAGTGCGGCGGAGATGACATGAGGGTCCCTTCGAGTGGGAGAAGATGGTGTCGCCTCGTCCGAACTAACAGTATTGACCTGTTGTAGTGACGCGCTCACCATAACGAAGGTTGGGTATATCCCCTGCCCAAATAGTCAGCGCGCCGGTTGATCAGATGACCGTGGCGACTTACATTGACTTGTACAGCGGCGGCATTATTGCCAAGGAGTAGGGTCGCGTTCAGGTTGGGACCAGTATTAGAGATACTATCGACGACCCAGTAGATCTGTGAGACGATTCTTAATCTCAGAAATGGCCATCAGATGAGATGCTCACCCAGAAGATGCAATAAATCGCACCACAGAGCGAGAGCAAAAGGAGAGCCATTCCTGTCCGGCTGTCGTACCGATGACGACCTACAGACTTGCGCATATTGCCCAGATGCCTGTTTCTGAATCAGATCGGCGTCATCATAGATAGCACTGGACTCACCACGTTACGACGACAACGAACACCTCGCACCAGACATTCAGTATTCCACTAAGAATAGCGCTAGTCTTTCCAGGCCAGGTTTCGTAAACCGGGTCTGGTGCGTTATAATCATCGAATCCAGCGGCTGTCGAGTATTTGGTGCTAGTGACGTTTCTATCTTCGCTCACGAATTCATATACTCCGCATCCTAAAATGACAGGTCGTCAGAGACTGTATAGAGGTAGGTATGATCACGGCAAGCGAGGCCAACCTATTGTACCCAGTATGAGTATGCATGGTATACCGCCCACTATCCGTTTAGCTCTGAACTTGTCCGACCATAGCGTCCATGTTCTCCAGACCACGATGACGTCGCCCAATACAATCTGAGTTCGAGATAGTCAGCCGATCATGAGCGTTGCATCCTTACAGGGCGACCTCACGTTTAGAGATTCGCAGACTAGGAGGATCTGGCTCTCCATGCCGACCGACTGCGCATCCAGGATCGCATATTTTCCCGGGTGCCCCACAGCTTGTACCAGAGATGCTACCCTGATTCCCCAGGCAGTTGCCGCGAAGCCGTACATGATCAGCATCAGGACGAGCATTGCCACATGAGTGCGAGTGCGCAAGCCCTTGTGCCTTTGAGCAAGGTAGGCTGAGCGATCCGATGTCGAGGAAGGGGATGTTAAGTCGTACCAACCAGAATATGTATGCCGAGAATGCCACGAGCAACGTAAATATCCCTAACGATTGTGTATGACCATTGTGTGGGAGCGTAGTGAGCACGTGTGAACGGACTTACCGAGTAAGAAACTTCCTATGAGCGCGGCGGGCAGCGAGATTTGGGCGTCGTGGATCGCTGCGGTTTGGAGTTGGATAGGAATATCGCTGGAAGACATCGATCTGAATTGGGTTCGCACAAAGTCTGTGCTAAGAGGTATAAGTACTGGTCCCCCATCAGCTTGAACGACGTTCGCAACAACCGAACATCGTCATGTTCCGCTATGAACAGGTTAGCATCTGGCCCTGAACAGCTTGAACAGAGGACCAAGATTAAACGGCTGTATGAGACACGTATCCTCCCTTTGACAATCCATACGTCAATTGAAGAGAGCAGCCAGATGTAGATGAATTGCGCAGTTGTCTCCTTAACGAGACTGCTGGAGTATACGAACGCGGTGGAGATCCTGCAGTCTTGAAGGTATTCGAGGCGAGATGATCATGGAGATGGGACGGCAAGTGTTCGGTAGCTCATCAGATATTGTACACTTCGGGTGGGGAAATAAGGGCGGTGAGTGCATGTCTAAATACACGGCTCGGAGCCCCGGTTGGAGTGATGGTGGTGGTTTCAATTCAACAGACAAAGCTGACCGTGTTGTCTCTCACCGTGATGTTCCCTCCCCGCGCCCCCGCATTCCGTGACCCTCTTACCTCGCCTTCAGCTGCCGGGCCTGTAGACGCTGATGCCCCGGTGCGCGCGACAGATAACGATGCCGCTCTCGCGCGTCTCTCTGCCGTCCAGAAGGGATACCTCACGGACCCGTTTATTGCGCAATTGGTTCCACGAGCGCATCTCCAGCCCGCACGGCCTCCTTTGATCAACATTGGAACGTATCTCCGCGGCAAAGGACTTGACGAACTTGTTGAATCTTTCATCCATCTTGCGGAAGCAGATGATAAGAAGGCGCAAATCGTGAGCGTGGGAGCTGGGAGTGATACGAGGTTTTGGAGGTTAGCGGTGCGTTATTCCAGACATCAAGTATAGGAAGGATTGTTGACATGGAAGTGCATAGGTAGACGGGGCCATTGGGTAGTAGCCTCGCTCGTTATGTCGAACTTGACATGCCCGAGAACACTTCACGCAAGGCTATGGCCATACGCAAAAGTCGAACATTGAACCCAGTATTGGGTAGTGACGTGCGAATCGGTATGTCGATAGTATGTATGATGATACGCGTACTGACATGCGCCCATAGGCGGAGGTGGCACCTCCCTACATTCCCCTATATACAACCTTCTCCCCGTTGACCTCCGCCACTCACCTTCAACAAGCCTTGGACCGAACGTCTCACCATTATTGGACCCAGCACTGCCCACACTCGTGCTCTGCGAATGTGTCCTGGCATACCTGCACCCCTCGACGTCCGATGCGCTGCTGACATGGTTCGGCGAACACTGCAAGGGCGTGCTTGGCGTGGCGATCTACGAAATGTTCGGGCTCAACGACTCCTTCGGGCGCGTTATGAAGAGTAATCTCAAGGTAGGAAGCCTGCCTACTTCATGCACTATCCGTAGCTAAACTATGCATACAGTCTCGCAACGTTGATCTACCCGGCGCAGAGCCATTTGACGATCTGCAGTCACTGCCGCGACGCTTCATCCGATTGGGGTTCACCACCGCTCACGCACTCACGCTCCGCGATATACGGCGAGATCACGTTGAGTCCAAGGAGCAAGTACGGATATCCCGACTCGAGATGTTGGACGAGGTCGAAGAGTTGGAGCTTGTGCTGCAGCACTATGCTATCAGCTGGGGGATAAAGCTGACCTCTAATGCGTCATCGGCTGGGAGCTGGGAGGCTTGGGGGATCTCGAGGAAGAGTTGACGACTGCAGCCCGGAGGGCAGAGCATTGAATGAGCTCCAGCATGCCCGTGACCTCTCTACTTGTGATATACGGAGGATTGTCTTGTAATGTGTATTGTGTTCAATCATGTTCATCGCCGGACGAGGCAAATGAGGCGCCGTTCGGTTGCGCTGCTTGATTTTACCTACGATGTCTGCGCATATCTCGGCCCACCGATGCTACTGACAGCCAATACAGGACGCCAAAGAACCACTCCGTCATAGGCCTACTTCCGTCCGTCCGTGCGGCGTGCGCAGCAGGTCGGCATCGTTCGCCTGCTCTGGTCCCGCTGCCTCTGTCGACTGTGCGCAGATGTCGGGTGCCTTCCGGTACTCTATAAAAGGATCTGCGCGCCGCAGTCGCTCCCCTTCGTTTTGCGCGAAATTCAACGTCCAGCATGAAGTCGACCACTACCACCCTCGCTGCCCTTGCCCTTGCTCTCGGCGTGAGCGCTGACACGCTGGTACTCAACACACCCTCAGGTGCAACAGGCGCAATCCAGTGCGAGGTGTATCAGGTATGTCCTCGTTCTTCGCCGGCAGCGTTGACACTCAGACATGTGGATAGGTTACATGGACCGGCGGCACAGCTCCATACTCGCTCTACCTCTATGACGGCTCCCAGAACTACATCTCCGAACTTGCGGACTCTCTCGAGTCTTCACCATACCAGTGGACTGTGAACGAGGCTTCAGGTACGTCTGAGTGATACCGACGTCTACCGTTTTGCTAGATCAAGACTGACATAGGCTTACAGGCTCGTCTTTCATCCTCTCCATCCACGACGCAGATGGCAGTACCTCTTCGACGGCCTCGTTTGAGATCCAGTCGAGCTCTGATTCGAGCTGTCTGAGCGGGTCGTCTTCCGTGAGCGGGAGCGCCACAAGCTCGGCGTCGGGTACGACGACGGCTGCGGCTGTTAGTACGAGTGCAGGCTCGAGCGTGAGCGCTAGCTCTATGTCGGCGTCCAGCGCCAGCGCCAGTTCGGCTTCTTCGGCATCGAGTGTCTCCGCCTCTAGCTCGTCGGCCTCCAGCTCGAGCGTGAAGACCAGCTCCAGCTCTTCTTCGTCTTCCGCTTCCACCGCGACGTCTGCTGCCTCGTACGTCTGCCCAATCCTTGCGCATGTGCACCTACTGACGCGGATTGTGCAACCAGATCTTCGACGGCGAGCTCGTCTTCTGACTCTAGCTCTGCTACGAAGGTTGCTGCGGGCATTGTCGCCCCGGTTATCGCCGCTCTGTTCGCGCTCGCGGTGTAGATGGAATGCCCGCTTCACCTAGGGATTTTGAATATTGGCATCTAGCATCTTTACCATCATCCGTACACGCGTGTCCTTCTTTCCTATTGGTCTTCTCAGTGTTCTACTGCCTACGCTCAGTGCCCTTCCTGTATCCCACGTACTGCATACTACGTCGCGCATGAGCTCACCGAGGCATGGAAACCACTCGAACGTGTGCGTACGTGTGCGCGCGTTTGCCAGATCTTCCAATCTACAAGGCACGATTGTCAACAAGGTCCGCCCGCCCGAGATGGAGGCTGTGCCACAGACACATGCTTTCCGCGACCGGCAAGGTTGCCTTCCGCGATTAGAAGTTGGCCGACGGACGACGAGCGACGCGCGGGGAGGTTAACGCCAGAGATACGCCCGCTCGCGAGCTTTGGACAAGTAGAGATAAGCGTCCGAGATGCGAGCGCGTTCAGATGTTCATATAGTCGCTTTCCTTCCTACCATGACCTCGCCAGAGGTTTTCCAACGTGCCGAATCCTGCTCTTCGGTCCACATGCCGGCCACGGCGAAATAGAGCAAAAACTATAGAGTTTGGTTGAAAAACGTGGTTACGTACCTGCGCGGTTCTTGCTGTCTCGAATCTGAGATCGCGGGTCCGGCCCTCCAGGGCACCCGCCGCCCCGCACTTCCGGAGACGTTCAAATATATATCTTCACGGACGACACACGCGGGTCTCGCTTGGATTGCCGGTTTTGAGTTCTGCTATCGGCGGTCATGGCTTCGTCGTCGTCAAAAAAGTCGAGCAACTCGCTTACGATCTCGCTCACGGAGAACACAGTGTTCTTGAGGGGTGTGGATTTCACGGGCAGGAGGAGGAACCACGATAATGAGACGCCGGCGATCATTCGCGGGTTGTTGACGCTCGAACTGTCCAAACCGACGCGGATATCGAGTATCGAGGTCGAGTTGCAGGGGAAGACATCGACGAGCTTGCCTGACTGTGCGTACCATTCCCTCATTGTTCAAATTTTATTCAGTTTGACCGAGCGATCAGCCCTTGTTTGTAGCTGGTGTGGGACCGAGGAGGACGGAAATCATCGAGGAGCATAAAGTTTACTGTGCATCCCAAGTATTCTTTCGCGCGACGGCCCCGTCGACGGCCGAGCTCCAACGGCGCGCTCTGTCTGTGGATCCTGGTCTGCATCTGTATCGGGACGAAGACCGCGCGCCGGACTACGCCGACTCCGTACCATCCTCTGCCACCACCGCCGAGCCTGCACGTGGTCGCGCGCGCATTAGACGCCAACAGTCTGCCGACTTCTCGATTCATCAGGCCGAGTTTGAAAGGCACGAGCAGGTGCAGAGGCCGCCGCTCCATCACCACGATTCAAGCGAGTCGTCGTTCCCGACGTCGACGCCAGATCTTACTCCGCCTGCCAGCCCCAGGATTGTGGGAGAGCCGTATGCAATACACAGTCTGGCCAGTGGAGGAGGGACATACGAATATGAGGCTAGATCTTGGTCCAGTATGTTCACTCTTCTTCACACTTCGAGATCTGTCACTGACACTGCGCTATAGGACCGGCATCTCGGACTCCCTCGCGGACACCTTCGCGTGCACCATCTCCTTCCCGGTCGCGCGTACGGCCTATGATGCCCATCTCGGGCTCCTCGTCTCTCAATCATGTGCCCTCAGACGGTCAACCCTCAACGTCAACCTCCGCTCGTGTCTCTTTCGACGAAGAGACCAATCCTCATCCCACCTTCGAGCCCCGCTCGCGAAGCCGCTCCCAAATCCCGGACAACCATCTGCACAGTCACTCCATACCTCCGCCACATACGCCACCGCACGACGGCACAGAGAGCCCGCGCGATCGCGGGCGGCATTCTGCGAGATTCTCGTTGGCCAACACTATTCTCGATGCTGTGAAAGAGCGCGTACGGTCGAACAGTCCTATCATCGAACGCGGGAGGTCACATCAGAAGGGAAGGGACGTCAGTAGCCCAGGAGGGAAGGGCAAGGAGAAGGAGACACCGCTCGAGGCACTGTTTCCCCACTTGCATCTGCCGAGCGCGATCAAGCACTCGCCGCTCGTTACTGCAGATGAAGATGACGAGGATAGGAAGGAGTTTGGGAACGGTTGGAGGGAGTTCAAGAAGGGTCTGTTCTATGACCAGCTGGAGGCTGTATTTGTACTGACGGTCCTCGTTTTTAGGCACATACACTTTCCCTATTTCATTCTCCGTACCGCCCAACATGCCTCCAACCCTGGCCTGCTTCTACGGAACCGTGAACTGGCGCCTCAAAGCCACCGTCCACCGCCCGGGCGTCCTCACACAGAAGATGTCCGCCACCAGCGATGTAACCCTCGTGGCAGCACCCAGCGAAGACGACACAGAAGACACAGAGAACATCGTCGTCGAGCGTTTCTGGGATGACCAGATGCAATACGTCTTCACGATCAGCGGACGGATGTTCACGATAGGGAACACGGTGCCGATCGACATGACGTTCTTGCCGATGAGCAAGATGAAGATCCATCGGTTGAGCGTGTATCTTGAGGAGAAGGTCGACTATTATGTTCATCAGCACCGCATGTCGCGCTCGGACGCGCCTTCTCGACTTGTGCTCCTCGCGCTCAAACATGAGAAAGACGAGCCTATTCTTCCATTGTCGACCGATGACCCCACATCGCTCACGCACTCGCCTCTCGCACCCCTTCTCCCCACCGATCCGTACGCTGCATCCGAAGCCGCCGCCAATCTGATGGGTCCTGGCCCTTGGCGTCTAACAACCGAAGCGCGCATACCGAAGAACGCGCACCCGACGAACAAGAACAAGAAGGCGAATATGGTCGTGGGGCATACGTTGAAGATCGTGATGAGAGTAGAAAGAGGGGACAATAGTGCGATTGACCCCAAGACGGGCAAACAGAAGCTGTTCGAGATCGTGGTACAGACGCCCGTATACGTGCTCTCTGTGCGTATTCATCCTTTGTTCTTGGCATCGGTCAAACTGACGTGCCTTCATTCATAAAGCATCTGGCGGATACGAAGTTCACCGCACTCCCGCGATACTCCGAGTCGTTCGACCGCGACGGTCCTGGTCCATCAACACGGCGTGTGCACCCAGCGCCTCTCCCAATGCCGCCTTCGAGTGCCGCGCCTGCTTCAGCCACTACGACAGAAGGAGGCGCAAGCGGACAGACGACGCCACCTGCGTTGGGCGCGGCAGATCCGGCGGTGTACAACCGATATGAAAGGCTGATTACGGGCCAGGAGAGCGAGATGGGCGAGGCGCCGCCTGCCTATAGTGAAGCTCCTCAACATAGGAATCACTCGGTTTGAGTCGCGTCTTGCTGGATGGGAAAGAGAAGGCCCGTAAGTGTGGAAGCGGGAAATCGGTACAGGGAATTGGAAGAAGGGAGGACATACGGACCTTGGCCGCAACGCTGCTTGAACGAATAGATGAACAAAGCCAAGTATAATACGAACCCATGTACTTCCATACTAATACAGGAACAAATACGAACACTGAACATGTAGACTGATCACCTTGTGCGCTGTATGATCTGCGAAGCGCCTAGGGAGGAAAGCTCTGATGCGGTACTCAGCGCAACTCGGCGTGTGGCGCGATACGCGCCCAGAGGCCGTCTCACGGGCGGCTTGCTGTGGACCACCACCAGCTCTCACAGACAGTTCGCTGTCAGAATGCTCTCAAGACTACCTCTATACTTGCTAGCGACTTGTGTCGCAGGGGCGCTGGCCCATTGGGAGACGGTAGACGAAGCAGGTGGGTTACTTCATTCGGATTATGGGCGTCTATCAGGGTTAATTGCGATATATGTAGCCGCGATAGCTCGCCGGGTCCTCGTGAAGAGTGCCGTAGGCACGATGGCTACCATATATCCAGATGACCACACGATGCTCCCAGGTACGTTCTGAAACCTATCACCCGATGGAAGCTTCGCTCATGCTTATATATCTCATGGTCCACAGGACAACCCTACGCGATGCAGGAATATTACGCCAGCTGCTTCTCCAACGGTTCCCTCGCTCTCATCTTCCTCCCCATCTCCCGCCATAGTCAGAACATTCTCCACTCTCCGACCCGCTCGGCGTCTATCTCCGTCTGGAGCGAACCCCCATCCGCTTCGCAGCCGCGGGTGTCGCTCATGGGAAACGTGACGTTACTCGATGACAGGGATGGGGAGGTGAACGCGCTGAGGGAGTGCTACTTGAAGCAGCATAGGGACGCGAGGTGGTGGCTGCCAGGAGACGATGAGGGCGCTCATCTGGTATGTGGTCCCTAAAGCCCCCTTGAATGATGAACAGCGCTGACTCTATACGAACCCTCAGGCTTACTGGGCCCGATTCGACCCTCACACGGTGTACTTCGTTGGCGGTTTCGGCGACGAGCACTATATTGGCTACATCCCGCTGGACAAGTACCAGAGCGCGTCGAGCGACACCGCCGAGCGGCAAGCGCCACAGGGTCAACAGGTTCTGCGTGGTGGCCGGCGCAATTGAGATACACTCTCTCATGCGGTTTCCTTGCTCGACGGAATTTTTACGACATTCACGAACCAAAGGAATAGAACCATCATCATCTCAACCGCAATGTATCATCACATTAAGGATTGCGAAATGTACAAGATCTGTCAAACTAGCCCTCCTCAGCTCCTGGATTCACGTGTGACTCCCTCGCCCAATGTCTCACTGTACAGGCTCGTTCGTGAGCAGCGTATGAGCTCAAGAGGTATTGTCAACGCTTCAGCGGGCGGACGAACGACGTTCATGTCAAAAGCGAGAGGTAGCGAGGCAGTTCGAGCGTGCGGTTGCCATACTATTGATGGCACGTTGTCCTCTTCGTCGTGTTTCTGCAAGGATACGCACACGACGACGAAGGTCGGATATATGCCCTGGAGGATTAGATGCACGTGAGCAGTCTTCACCGTAGATCTATTTGCATTTGATACTGACGGTGATTTGCGCGGCAGCAGTGTTGTTGGCGATCAAGAACGTCAAGTTAATGGTATCGGAGTCGACCTTCTGAGTTTCGTAGATGCCGGCTACGATCCAGTAGACCTGTGAGGCATGGTCACGCTGTGAGATGCACATGACCGTGTCTTCTGCGCGCTCACCCAAAACACGCAGTATGCCAGCTCGCATGACACCAACAAAAGCAGGATCATGCCAACGCGATTCTCAGTGAGACGGCGGCCGATAGGCTTCTGAATCCTCTCGAGCTGCCTAGCGATATGCCAACCTATCAGTACTCGTTGCCCCGTCCGTTTCAGCTTCATCATGCTTACCATGTTTTGACAGCAGCGAGCAGCACACACGACACATTCAAGATGGCGCTGAAGATGACCCCCAGCTCGCCGCTGAAGTTCGCGTATACGATGGAGGGCTCGTTATCGTACCCGAGCTCTGTACTAGCGTACTGCTTCTCTGGGATGATGGTGCGGAAGCTGAACATAGCCAAATCGACACATCCCGCCGCTGCCATACTCCATTCAACAGGAGGTTGGGGTGTCATGGATATGTGATACGTACCAGCTGTTCCGAACAGTAACAAGCACCCAATCAATCCTATCCATCTTCCTCTGTTGCTAGTCGACCATAGAGACCATGTTCTCCACGCTACGATGATGTCGCTCATGAACACCTATCAACGAGACTGAGTGATACTCCACACAGTGAAGTCGTCGCCGTACATTGAGCCCTAGGCACCATTGAAGGGTCTTATCCTTGATGATCAGTGGGGCGGCATTCTGCATCGCGTACACCTCAGGCAGCCCGACAACTTGTAGTATGGAGGAGACAAGAATGGCCCATGACGTTGCTGCAAGTGCGTACATGAGCACTACGAGGGTGAGCATGACCGCGTACGCCCGAGTGCGTAAGCCTCTTTGCCTGTTCAATCGGTCAGTATATGCATACCACACCCGTAGCAGTTCATTGGCACACCTAAGAATATGAACAGAGAGAGCCAGTAACAATGTGAATGACCCTGGGAAGAGAATTAGGACTTGGCCTTGCCAAAGACTGTAAGACATACCGAAAAGAAACGTTCCTAGGATGGTTCCGGGAAACATCGATTTGACATCTCGCAAGGCAGCCTCGAGTTTGGTTACTCCGACCGCCGAAGACATCCTGTAATAGGGTCAGAGTAGAGGAGGTATTGAAACGAACTTTTGTGCAACTCGAAGGTTATGAGGAGTCCCCTTGACATAGCACGCCGCAATGCTCTTTTCTATAACGGCCGCCGGCACAAGGACACCTACAATGGCATCGCACTCTAGATCATCTAGACCCATCCAAAGGCGTGACATGATCGACACCCAACTACAATGGAAGTGCTTAGGGCATATTCCATTCGACTTTTACCCCAGGTGCTATGGCAGATCTGATAGGCAAGGATGACACTGCGGGGTGCTTCTCGAGCTGTCACCGCCACAGCCTGTCGCGGGAGGTGGTCTTGGGTGAATGAGAGAGCGAGCCTTGTGTATGGTCATGTACAGGATACCATCTTACAACCCGTTGTCAACGAGATCCGAGCAAATTCTCTCCTACGTATGTAGTCATAGCACATGAGAATCCAAATCGTACAGAAGACCTACAAGTAGAGATCACTCGGAAGTTTCTTGGATGGCTTGGTGATGGGATACGTATCGGCATCTCTAGAACATCGGCAACCGAGGGTATGTCAAAGTCGGCGGGCATCTGAAACGTGTCGATCTCGACCGTCAACTCTGTAGTATACACACACAGACTGCTGTCAGGCAGAAGTATATTCGTGAAAATCATACGATCTGTGGTGCTCAGTTGGAGAAGGCAGGGCCTAGTTTAGGGGAGGGGAAGGCTAAGCGGCGTTTGGACCGAGAAGCTTGTACTGCAGTTGATGCACCCCGCGATTGAAGTCATAGAAATCTTTGGCGCATCAGTGAGGCTATAGACGCACCGCTTCTGTATTGCAGCTCTGACATTAGGTGGTCAGCGGGACGAATAGAAGACAATAGAAGCATCAGCGGAAAAGCACACTTGAACGCGAGCCCGTCACTTAGCGGATACACTTGCTCTCATTCAGGATAGAGAGTTGAGTGAGAGCCGAGCTAATATATCTGCCACCTTCGGTCTATACCGGGACTGAGATCGTATTTGTATGAGCTACATGACGCATGTTGCATGGTGGCCGCTGTGGGCAAGCGCGTCAAGCTCGCGTCCGTGCAGGTCTGCGCGCCGTGGCGGGCCGGGCCGATCTCCGAGCTTTCGTCATCATTGTCCGGCCCATGTCCATGAGGCTCTTGCTTCCGGTCATCATCTCATCAACGTTGTGTCCGTGACTATATATCGTCTTGCGGGCCACCTCAATTGTGATACTTACGGGGAAGATTTCCGACATCCTTGAATACCGCCTTCGTGCCTTCGCGATGACAAGAGCAATTGCATTGCTCTAGCGTCTACCAGCGTCTACCTCTGGTTATACCCTCACGGGACCTTCGGACCATCGTTCAGTCGGCCCACGACGCCCGCCATCTTCGAATAGCCATGAAGCGATTTACCAGCGTCTGTGTACCGACGAGAGCCCGGCGCTCATCAGCGCACAGAGTCTGATTTCTCAGGCGAGTCACAAATACCGCATGCGCGCCGCCGTGTGGCCAACACTCTGAGTACCTTCTCAGTACCGGCAGTCTTCATAAGTACTTTAATACGTGCTTTCACAACCTACCATACGCCATACCTCCCTGGTAGCGCAACATTCATCATAGACATGGCCACCCCAACCCCTGCAACGCTTCCGCCGGGATACGTATTCAACGACGCCCCACCACCACTCGAGAAATACCTTCAGTTGCGCGTACTCAACGGTCTTTCCCCCAAGACACCCGAGCAAGGCCGTGGTGCTCTATCAGGCAGCTGGGCCTGGTCTACCATCATCTATGCCCCAACTCCTACGGCCGATACCTCATCATCTCCGCCAGAGGTCGTAGGCATGATTCGCGCGATAGGCGATGGCGGCTGGTACTTCCTCATATCCGATATGTGCGTGCAGACCACGCACCGCCGCAAAGGCCTCGGCGAAGCCCTTCTGCGTCGGATGCTCGACAAGATCACGTCCAGTGTGCCAAAGGGGCCGTTAATCTCGCTGCTGGCGGACCCGCCGGGGAGGGCGTTGTACAAGAAGCTAGGCTTCGTGGAGAGCGCGCCGAGGTGTGAAGGCATGTGGTTGATACCAGGCGAGACGAATGCGACGAGCGCATAGAATGGAATGGCCCAGCATCAAGAAATGCTCCTGTGTATACTTTCGGGCGGTGGAATATCGTACCCGTACAAAAGATTTCTCCTCCCAGTCTCAATTAGCCTTCGCAATGTCATATGTACTAGCCCTCTCATGGTGCATACAATTTCGTGAGGTCAAGGGTCAGATATCATTGACGAAGGCACGCCAACCGATGATTCAAGTAGAGCCCAGTTTATTAAAACAAGGTAGATGAATCGTCCATGGCCAGAGCCGAACCAGAACCAGGCAAGCAGATGTGTGTGGCAGATCCCGCTGGGTATAGTACACTAGGTGGAGGCGGGTCGGTCGTAAGACGTGGATTTATCGAACGCAAGATCGGTGTTGAGGATACAGACAGGATGCAGTGGACATAGAAACGCATGCGATGAAGAGACAGAAGAAGAACAGGCCGTAAAGCACGAGGGCCAATGTAGGAGCTACGAGGCGGAGTGGAAAAGAGGGGAATACAGCTTGCAGGGCCGCCCTATGCGGTACTATGAAGCGATAGGTGATGTTGAGGTCGGGGGTATGCTGAGTGGTGGGGTAATACTTGGCGATGGCGAGGACGACCACAGCATCCTCGTCCTCCTCGGGTATCGGTTCCTCGAGGTAGAGCTCTTCGCCCTCCTCATCCTCGTCTTCTTGATCAGCAGTCTCCGCGTCAAAGATGGAGTGGAACTGAACATCGAGGTCAGATCGTATTGCAACATAGTGAAAGCGGACGAATACTGACGTTGGTTATGAGCGTTTTGACCAGCTTGTTAGTATGCGGCATATTCGCCATGATCATGAGGAAGTCGTTATCCGGAGCGCGCAGTAGATTGGGACTGAACACGATCGCCAGCGCGTCGGGTGTCATCTGGTTTTGCTCTTCGAAATCGGTCACTCGATCGAGGTGCTCGATGATGCGTCGGAGTAGATCGAAGTTTGGTCGCGGTAGTGCGTGTACAACGATGCGTGTGCGTGTGAGCCGAGCGTCGAACTCTTCGATCTCTGAGACATACGCGTCAGTATATGTAGTGCCGTCTCGTGTGCACATAAACAACGTACTCATAGCGTTCACGACGTCGTGATACGAGTAGGCAGGGAAGACCGGCTCGGGTAGAACACGGAACCATGACTTGATCATATCGCAAATCGCGTAGATATCCGTTTCGGCCGTGACGGGCCACATTCCTGCATTGAACTGCTCGCGCAAGCGATTGACCTCCGAGTTGGCGCCGGCGATACGATCTGTAATCCAAGTATGAGTCCATTGTCGTTACAATCCTCGCACCAAGAATAGGGCACGCACAAATCCCAACCTCTCCCATCCCGCGTCTCTCGACCTCCTGTATGCACCTCTCGATGAAGACCGGCACTGCGCCTTCTGGTGGACCACTAGGGTACTCCCGTCTGAGTAGCGCTTCAAGCGGCACTCCAAAGACTGCGTCTGGACCTCTTGCGCCCGCAGCCGGCCTATCGTGGATGTGGTCCTCTATCCGCGATTTGGGCTCGCTTCCAAGGTACGTCAACCGTCTCTGCGCCGCGGCTCTCCCGACTTGTCCTAGCACGCGCACCCATCGATCCATTTCACGCCTACTGGGGGCCTGTAGCAAGAACCGAGCGCCGTCCTCGGTGTCGAGTGTGAAACAGTATGAGCGATCTGCACGGACTGCCGCAGCCGCGCGAGCATCGGCGACATTAAGCGCGAGCGCTGGCTTGCCGCTCGGCTCGAAGTCAAGTTCGGCTGCTGTTCGCCCAACATATGCGTGTTCGCCACTAGCACTGACGACATCGAGGGAGAGTGCGCTTGAAATGGGCCGCATGAGTTGCTGGAAGAATGTGGCCGATCCGCTCTTATTCCTGCGCTGCTTCTGTTGCGCGGGCCCATGATGATGCGCGAGACCGTGCCCACGACGTTCTCTCGGTGCTGGAACGCCTTGGTCCAGTTCACGCCTGTCGGCCCTTGCTTGCTCGGCACGTCTCTCACGAGTGAGGCGGTCGCGTAGGAGACGATCCCGCTTGTTCTTGTCGAGTTGTTGGGTGACAAGTCGTTGGAACGGACGTGGGCCTCGATTGCGCGTTGGTGGTGCGTTGGCGGCTTCCCGAGCGGCATCATCACGAATGAGACGCATGTCGAGTGATGCATCCCCGTACTCGCGTTCGATGATGCTTAAGCGCTCAAGATCGTGCCTGCTGATCTCGCGCCTGCGACTGGTGGGCGACTGGGTGTCGACGATGAGATTACATAGGTGCCTATAGAGCTTGTCAGTACTGCAAGCACTCAAAGATAGACCGCGTAGCATACCTCCTCTTGTCGAAGTTGATCACCCGCCCAGTCTCAGTGACTGCCTCGAACGTATCCGGCAGACTGAGCACCTCCAGTACACGTTCGAGCAACCATCCCACATCGGTCGTAAGCGGTGGTCCATCTGCCTCGTCGACATCTCTCACAAGAACGCTTGTCAGAGTGTCCAACACGACGCCCCTCCCGGCTGCAACGTTCACCCATGCGCGAGCATGGGCCCGGCTCTCGGGCGCCAATACAGCAGCCGTGAGAACATGTTCCGCGAAAGAGCGCACGACTCGCCTCTCCCCTGGCCGAACATGCTGGGTGTCGTCCGCCTCACTCCTTGCCCGCGCGACCTCGATGGCTTGAATAACACTCTCCATCCGTTGCGCTCTCGTATGTAGGCCCAACCTCGGCGCCACGATCTGCGCGAGTATCCATTTCCTGAGAACATGATGTGCCCTAAGCGCCGAACGAAGAGCGGGTGGGAACAGCCGGAACAATTCATCGTGCCCTCCTCCCGAAGGCGGGACATCGCGCAAGGCGGTATAGACGCTCTGTAGCTCCGCATCGTCGCTTTGTCCTGCGGGTGGGTCCCACGGCGCGAGCCAACCGAGTCTGTCCGCGCTCTGCACTTCGAGAAGGTCCGCTGCGATCAATAGGTCTTCTTCCGTCACCTGCCGCATCGCGGCGAGGGCCATCGCGTCGAGTGTGTTGACTAGGGCTTCGGGCGAGGCTTTGTCTAACGTGAGTGGCTGCGGCGTGCTTCCGGGGCTCGGCTGGAGAACAGCAACATCGACTACGTGCACGGCACGGTCGGTGGGTCGAAGGGTCTGCGCTCTGAACGCGCGGGCGAATGCTGCCAAGCGTTGTTGTAAGATAATTTGAGCCTCCGCAGCGGCCTTCGTAGGAGCAGGTCCAGGGCTTCCCGAGACCACATCCGGTGGATTCCTCACGAAGGCCTGCACGGCTGCGTGGAGAGCCCCGTCATTAAGCATGTCCAGTGCGCCTCCTCCTTCATGCAACCACGCCAGGAGCACATCGACCACGTCCGTCCGTTTGACCGCCACCTCTGCAGCATCAACTCTTGCTGATGCGGCGACATAGCGCTTGCGCAATAGCTCGAAGAAGACCAGCGGAGAGACGAATGATCTGAAACTAGACCACCATACGCGAGCGAACTCCGCGGAGTCAAGCCGGAGGTCGCGCGCGCGACGCTCGCGCAAGGGCATCTCACCGTTATCGTCCGATACGCCGACGCTCACTCCTGGCAGGCCGTGTGCGAGAACGTCCACCAGCCGGTCGAGGGTACCGGCTTGTACGAGTACACGGACCTCTGGTGCCGGGGGCGCCAATACAGAAGGGTGCTCTGGTATGACGAGAGAAGTCCGCGCTGAGGCTGATATGCTGGGCAACGAACTCCTTCGCGCGAGCGAGGGTTTCCGATCGAGGCTAGCATGACCGGATCGTACGCGAATGGACGGCGTGCGCCCTACGCCTCCGAGCATACCAGCAGCAGCTGTCTCAACACTCGACGGTGGTCGACTTGATGGCGGTCTCGAGGACGGTCGGGAAGATGCCGTAGGGTCCGGCTGCACCAGCATCAACAGCTCCCCGTCAAAGAGCGGTATGATCGTCCCTCCAAACTCAGTCGGAGTTGCCACACCATCCCTTCCCATACTTCTTCGTCTCATTTGTTGTACCCTCGCCTCTCCCGGTCTCCTCACACGTTGCACCTCCGCCATGGTTAAGGAAGTAGGCGCCCCGGTAGCGCCGGATGAATCTAGACGCCCACGCGATGCCGCCGCCGTGAGCTGGGCGCGGTCGATCAGCGTCAATTGAGGAGTATGTTCCGGGAAGAGAAGCGGTAAGAGGATAGCGCTGCCAGGGTGAGGTGCGCCTGCGGATGCATGGGCCCAGAACAGAGGTTCGTATTGCCCCGCTCGCCGAGCTTCTGCTGCAAGAGAGAGCGACATGAACTGGTCGACGCTGTGTAGTATGGTCAGAATTGATATCAGACATGCATAGATGGATAGCGTACTGTATGAATTGGCTCGCAATGTTGCCAACGCCGCCACCGGTCTTGGCCAATGCCTCCCAAACAACGCCCAACCTCGCATCACTCTCGGCATACTTCTCCCCCTCCGCGTCCACTTCGATCTCTCCGCGTCCACAAGCCCTTAGCGCATTTCCCAACGTCTCAAACTCCTCCCTCGCCCTCATCAAGGGAACGACAGCATAGATCGGCGCTTCCTCGCCGGTCTGCGTCTTTGCTTCCCCTACAGCATCCCGTACCCTTGCGCAGATATCACCTGTCCAGGGCACTTTCACCTCCACATCCTTCCCTTCTTCTCGCTCAACCCATCCCTCGACGATCGCCCTCGCACCACTCTCGACCCTCCTCCACGTCTTCTCCAGTCTAGCCACCGGTCGCGCCGTAAGACCAGCATATACAGCGCGGAAGGCGCACATGTCGCCTTGTAACCGGGCTGCCTCGCCGACGCGCGCCCACGCGCCCAGCACCTCGGCCCGAGCGTAGGTCCGGCTAGACGTACTGCTACCCTCTCCATGTCCGCCATTGCCACCGGAGCTCGCATCGGGGACAAAGATATGTAGCAATATGAGTTTGGTCAACCAATGTGGCGATGCGTCACTTCCTCCCAGAGCTTGAAGCGCAGGGATAGGCTGAGTACCGACAACGTCCTCCACCCTGAGCTTCTCAGGCGCATCGGCGAGCACACGCAGATGATACGCTCGCAGAGCATGTGCGACTTCCGCCGGTGCAAGCCTTAGCAAAGCGCGCTTGGTCAGACCCTCGCGCTCGATGCTCGACCATAACGCTCCACGGGCACTCGAGCCTGGGGAGTTGCCGAAGCCAGGGCTCGTCGGCGTCGGCGGGACGGCTGGCATGTTCAGCCCCGTTGCTGAGGAAGTGAGCTTATTGGCTGGTGGAGAGACTGGTGACGCGAGCTTGAGGTTTGGTCGGCTCTCGCCATTCAATATCGGGCTGTCGGCGAATAGAGCACGAGTGCTGGCAGATACTGAGGCAGATGCCCTGTTGTCCGGTGTACTGGGCGGTTCTCGCTTTTCAACGCTTGACGAGGGCTCCGGATCGGCTTCGGGCTCGGGAGGGAGGGTTTCGGCCAGAAAGTCCGTCCAAGCCTGGGCGTCATTCGCGGCGCCGTGATATGAGGTATATTCGTCCACGAGCCATCGTACTCTTGCACGGGCTGCACGTGTATCTTCTGCACCAGATACATACGAGCCGCATAACCGTATGAACTCCGCCTCAAACTTGCTCGCGTCGGAGGCAGGCGGTAACCCAAATAAGACGGTACGCGCGAAGTTGCGATAAGCGCCGTCGTCAGAAAAGGTGGTGCCAAAAGCAGCTTCGTGCACGAGCGCTTCCACTGTCCCACGCTCGATTATGCCAGTCGAGTTGCGCACAAGATCAGGATGCGTTCCGCGGCCCCAGAACGCTCGTCGTCTCCGGGTAGGCTGAGCTGTAGACGGGCGCTCATCTGTCGGTGTAACACCCGCACTTCCCCCTCCAACCTTCGCACCCTCCTCTTCCTCTTCTTCCAACTCATCCTCGACCGCCACGAACCCTGTCGGAAACAGATCCTTCACGGCTGTGGCCCTATCGTTCGGGATTTTGTAGAGCTGTAGCTTTGTGCCCCGCAGGACCATCTTGAACGGTTTCCAGTTCTTCCCAGCTCCACTCGCGGGCGCGTAATCCGTCAAACGTGAAACCAAACCCGAGTGGCTCGTCCCGCTCACGCTCTCTCGCTTATTTGCTTCCCCCTGGACACGCCTATCTGGCTCAACGATGACAGGTGGCGGTAACAAGTCCGTCGGGGAGTCATTGGGATGAGATGGGGAAGGGGACTTTGCGCCGAATGTGAACGGAAATGCGCCACGGCCTGCGAACGCCTTTTGCGAAGCAGGTAAAGGCGGCATATCGGGCACGGGCTCCTGGAGAGTATGGGTGCTGCCGGCACTCATCTTGCGCACCGGGCTCACGGGGCCGAGCTTGGACGGCAACTTGGGCGTAAACGAGTGACTGCGGGCGTGCAGATGACTTGGGCTACTTGGAGGGCTCGAAGAGAGATTGGGCGAGGTCGGTGGAGAGGTCGCGTTGGTGATCACAGGGAAGAGGTACTGAGAGTGTGCAGAGGGACTGGGCGAGTGGCGCGAGACAGATATCGGCGATTCTGCCTGACGGTACTGCGAGACTTTGTCCTGCATTGATGCAGAAGCCGGGCTGGGTGGCGCTTTTGACAGATCATCGGCCGAGCGTGACCACGGTTTGCGCGACAGGCCGCGTAGATCACCCAGAGGAGGCACGTTCGGCCTCTTACGGCCCGAAGGAGAGCTGGCGGCAGAGTCGACGTCCGGCGCGGCAGTCTGCGTCCGTGCCAGGGATAGATCGAACACGGAACGTGACGCGTGAGCGTGTTTACCCATTGCGGGAGCACCAGCACCAGCATGGATATATGGTTCGGATAATGCAGAAGCCAGGATCGGACGCGGGTCCGTCGGCTGGGAGATCTTCGGTTTCCGAACATAGCTCGACGTCGATGAACGCGGTTCAGACGTGTTGGACGGCGCGCGAGGACGAGGGGTCGCGTTGTTATTATTTGATCGGGAGAACCATTTTGCTGGCTTTGAGAGTAGGCCACCGAAGCCGCTGGGGGACGTTGCGCGAGGAAATGGTTGAGGCACGTCCGAGGACTGCTGCTGCTGTTGTTGGTCGTACGGACTTAGACTATTCCCCGACGGACGGCGGTATCCGGGCGGCATCGCAGAGCTGGAGGGAGATATCAGTGGGAGTGGGCAAAGCGGAGCTGCAGCACGTACCGTTAATTATAGAGAGCCGCTCGTCGTCAACCAGCGCGTCGTCGGGCGCGGTTCAAGTAGATAAAGCACGGTTATGAGCTCCGCTGACACGGATCCTCTCGCGTTTCGCACTTTCGTAGTGCTTGATACACGTCACAAGGCAAAGAAGGAGAAGAGTCAAAGCGGGACAGGTGAAAGAAGAATGTTGAGAGGGACGTGGCCGTCTGAACGGACTGCTCTGGTAACCTGTCACTCCCTCCGAGTCCGCCATCACGGCCTTCATCAGCTTCTAGCATTCAGATATCCCTGCTCTCTTCCCTCGCCGCATCTTTTTCAAGTCCGCTTTCGTATACATTGCTCGCACGCGCGGCACAATGCACCAGCTTGCCCAGAAAAGGTTATGCCCGCGGCATGCTACCGCCTTTTCCCCGTCGAGCCTACCCAATGCCGCGGCCTCTGTATACCGATCTCCTTTAGACTCCAATCGCGCGCGTTATGTCCGTGCCCGTCGCGCATCTTGTTGCGCCACAGCTGGTCGTTGGTCGCATGATGGTCCTCATCTCAGCATGTACAGCCGCCGATGCCGATGCCATAGCTACGGAGAGCTGCGAGCATCAGCTGTGGCGACGAGCGGCCGCGTGCCAAGCACGCCAACACGCGCGTCTTTTTTGCTTCTCAGAATCCGAGAACGTGTCGCTCTCTTGACGCTTTCTGTCAAATACGACGACGTTCTCGACGAGCTCTAACTAGACAGCGCACTAGGCGTCATATTTCGCTCATAGACGACGACATTGACGAGCAGTTCTTGACTCGACCAAGGCGCCGCATCGCGGTAGCGACACCCGCCGACACCCGCCGACGTTCGATCGTCGTCTGCCCGCCGCTAGGAATGCAGACTGTCTACAACGCTCGCCGGTACTCTCTGATGATACCGACTGGGGGGTTGACTGAGACCATAATGGGCATTAGCGTATCTTTGATTTCCGGTTCATTATCTTCGACCCGTCGATGTTTGTCCATCGCGGATCTTTATGCGCGCTTCTCCATTGCTCGCGAGTCGCGACTCAACGAGGCAATTATGCTGCCTTCTCAGCCCTTAGGCTTTTGGCTGTCCGAGAGACTTGCGCGTCAATTGCATGCCTGGCAACCCGGAATAAAGGGGCGACGCGAGGGCTGTATCGTGAACGCACCGCAATTGCCCTGCGTGCGGCGGCGTGGACGAGCAATGGAAACTGCACCTTGTCAGAACGTTGTACGACGGAGAGCAAACTTTCTTAAGCGCGCTTCGTAGTTCCCATACCAGTGGCTTGACGATCACACCACACTGACCCGTGCCAGTGATGTTGACGAACAGGCGTGCGTTGCGGGATTGCACCGTGTTCATCATCGTAACAGGAATGGCCGATCCCTCTACGGCCAGTTCAGGAATACATTCAGCTCCTCGGGCCCCTCTGGGTACAACGGAGTTCCTCCCTGACGCGCCCGGGCTTCGCGCTCGGCGTAAAATGCCTGTCGTCTCTCCACTTGCTTTTGGTACGCCATCTCCTGCCTCTTCCTGTCCTCTTCTTCCTCCTTCTCCATCTCAGCTCTTCTCTGCGCCCTCTCCTCCTCTGTGCCGAGCAACTTAATTTCTATCTTCTTCAGCTTTCCCAGAAAGCCACGCTTGGGAGCACCAGCGTCTCTCTTCCTTGCAACGGCAGCACGTTCGAGATTGGTGTGAGTTGTGGCGCCCGCGATGATGGTCGATGATCCTTCTCTGCCCTCATCTTGCTCTAAGGGTGGATCCATCGAAAGAGATGAGGATGCTCCCGAGGCCTTCGCGGGATCGTGCTCCTCCAGATGTTCTCCCGTCATGTTTGATGCGCTCATCTGGATGGGGGCCGATCAGAGGTGATCTCTGGGTTCGCGTCGAGAATGAGATGCTTGAACACCGATGGTGTTGAGCGGATAACCGATGAACACATACAGGAAGAGGATGAAGATGCCGATTCAGATGTCGGGAGCTGCGGGTCGCGGGTGTCCTGGTGGTGGCGGCGGCGAAAAGGCTTCTAGATATCTCGCGAGAACCAAGGGCCGCACAGCATCGGACGACGGGCGAAGACCCAGTGATGTATACATCGAAGCTTGTGTACTGCATAGTGTATACAAAACACAGCCTCGGTATTCTTATTCTTATCAGACCAGAGGAATGCACCGCAACACATTGTGAATTCCTCACTACTGCTACCATTCGCCAAAGCCTCGAAACTCATGCCCCATGTACGCGGCTGTGCCTCCTTGCCGGACCCGTTCCTCCTGCGCAGCATAGAACTCTTTCTGTCGCTTCACCTGCCTCTCGTATGCTAGTACCTGCCGCTTTCGGTCTTCCTCCTCTTTACGCGCCGCCTCTTCTCTTTGCCTCTCCCTTTCTTCTTTTGTACCAAGGACTTTGTCCTCCAACTTTCTCAGTTTCCCAAAGAGGCCGACTTGAGTGGGCGCCTCCCCCTATGGTCGCTGAAGAGTGATTGGAGTCAGACTCCGGGAGGACGACCTCAGTAGCAGGGGTGGTAGATGCATCTGCATCAGTAGCATCGCCACCGCTATGTGGCTCCCTGGGTGAGTATGGAGGAGGTTCCTCGTTATCTTCGCGGTCTGAGATCTCCGGATCGCCTGTGCCCTCCATCGGACCGAGAAGGTCTTCCCGAGCCTGTCCTGTCATGGAATGATGAAAGACTACTCAGAGAGCAGCGCCTGTAGTCGTATCTGCCATCGGCAATGAAACGTGAACCCAGACATGGCGCGCAGTAGATACGAGAGCCTACAAGAGTAGTTTGGACTGTACAGTGACTGATGAGCTACAGCAGCGAAGGTGGACGAGGCTTCGGTGGTGGTGGTGACTGTGAAAGCGCCCAAGATGCACGAGTGCCTCACATTCAGCATTATCGCACGCAATCGCAACAGTTCCCAGCATTGCATGGTGAGGTCATGTGAGGAATTGACTATATCTGGAAAGGTTACCTTGCGAGGTACGAGCAAGGTCCTGCACCCCCTGAAATGGCACCAGGCACGGTCTGCCACCGCGGGAAACTTGCGGATGAAGCCGTGCTTAGCATCGTTCAGGTGACTCTTCGTCTCTATACTTCCGTCTTCGCTTTTGTCTGCACCAATAGAGGAAAAAAAGAGGATGTACATGTTCACATAGTCATGCACGACATATCGTATATGGCACTATTCATCTCGAACCCGCTGCACCTGTCGAGCGTATCCTCACTCCGTCTGAGGTCACTTCGATCTTCCTCAAATCACTTCTCAAGTCTGCGGAAGATTTCCTGGGTCGCAAGGCGGATGGTGTTGTCATCAGCGTTCCTCACTGGTTCAAGGACACGCAGCGCGAGGCACTGAAGGCTGCTGCAGCCGACGCTGAGATCAAGGTCTTGCAGCTGCTTGGGGATGCCGGTGCTGAGCCGTCACCGCTTCAACTAACCCTTCCCGCGGACCGTACCGCTCTCGTTGTCGATCTTGGCGCCTCGTCTCTGAGCCTCACCCTCATCCAAATATCTGACGGTCTCTTCGTACCGCTCGCGGAACCATGGACGACGTCGTCAACGCGTTGGGACGTTTCCTTCGGACCGACGCGTACGTGAGGAGAATGCAAGCCCGCGCTGCACAGCAGGTTCGTCGTCGCCTGTCTTCGATGCTTCTCCCTCGAACGCGTCTCTGACTTTCATGCAGACTTCATGCGTGGTGGGGGTCGAAGGACAAGATGCGGAGGATGACGATGACGATGATGGACGGATGCCGCCGCCGCTGGAATCGATTCCTGACGCTTACTTAGGTAAATGACAGAGCGGTTGTTCGCCTTTCATTCGTTCCATTCGATCAATACGTGTATGTACTTGTACAACGACCGTGACGTATGTAATGCAAAGACCTCTTCGCCTCCCATTCCAGTCCCTAACGCAGTGACCGTCGCGCGTAATCCCCCGAGCAAGGTTGGCCCCGCGGGACGCGGGATTTCGAGTGCCGTATGAGCTGAGGAATTCAAGCGGAGGACGTTACGCGCGGGGTCTAAATCACCCGACAACTTCGCGATTCAGATCCATGAGAAGTCTACAGCGCCTTTCTGAGACTCCAGTCGGTCGGTACAGTATGAGCTCGCCTCTCTGTACCGGGCCCACACTGCTAGAAAGGAGAGCTAGATAACGTAAACAAAGAAACCAACCGTCATGGTGGTTGGAGGTGGAAGCGCTTCGTCACTTCGTTAGTGGTTTTGTGACTGACGCCATCAGTCACACGACAGTCACCCACGCGACGGAAGCCCACAAAACCACACTTGACCGCGAGCTGTGAGAGAGGAAGGTTGTACTCGCCGTTCGCCCACTTCGCCGGCCGGTGCTGGTGATATCCGGTTGAATATGTGCGTGCCCACTCATCTGCTCGTATGAACAAACCCGACTAATACACTGCTGTCTTGATGTCAGGCCAGGTCACCATGATGTCCGCGATAAGTCGGGACGGTTCGCGAAGAAGGATACCGAATCCGAAAGACCGCGGAGGCCAGGAAGGCCCAAAAAGAGTGTGAGGTTTGAGAGTCCTCTGGACAGCTTCAGGCAAAAGAAGGCTCAGGCAAGCATTGATGTGATTGCATTGCAACAATGAAACCCTGATACATTCATCCGCAGATGGACGCAAGGTCTCGACAACGGACCGCACAGGCCAAACGTCGCAAGGAGCGTCGAGGACATGTTGCATCTAGATCCCCCTCTTCTGAGCCCGAGTCTTCTCTGCATCGTTCCCCGCCTAATTCCCGCCGCACAACCACATCGCAGATCGGTTCTGTGGCCAGAACTAACTTGACGAGCTCCGCTCGCGCGAGCAATGTTGCATCTAGTTCATCAGGAACTACCAATGCCACTAGACAGCATACTTTATCCGGGCGTGACAGTGTGCTACCACCGTCGACATCCATACAAACTCCACCTGGTTCAGTGTCGCCACCACCTGAGGCTGTCAATGATTTCGAGATGATTGACTTGACCCTCGGCGAGGAAGACGAGGAAGACGTCAAACGTACGCAATTCTGACTCGTGGTCTCCGAAATGTTGCTGACATTTATTCCTTTCCATACTATCAGCTCTTATCAATGATGTTGACCGGCTGCTCGTTGAGCACGGCGTCGATGGCGACGCCGATCTCGTCAACAAGACAGATACACTGCTTTCCCTTCGACAGAAAGCTATCAATGCCCATGTGTCTGAGGAGGACCTTCCGGATGTTCTGAAGCTCGCCAGTATCAAGAGACTCCTCAACGCAACTGTAGGAAGGATAGTGGTTTAAGTAGGCAGTGGATGAACTGTGGCAAACTGGTTCTCGTTCCCTGAATTTACTGAATCATGTATTTGTACTCAACTACTCATGTAAAGCATCTTCTTGTGAATATCCAACTCCTGCAATAAGTGTACAATACGCGATCTTCTCATGTATGTATCCACCGTATCGCGTATGAAGCGATGGAGAGCAGAGTGGACTCGGACGTGCCTCGCGGCGCGGCTCGCGCGCGGGACCGGAGCGGGCGCGCACTCCCACAGTCGTGCGCGCGTCGTGCTCGATGCACTCGCCATGATGGTCATAATCACGCAAGACGTTATCGTCGTTGGCTCGAACCACCATTGCCGCCTTTCTTCTCTGCAGCTATGGCATCGAAGACGAGCTCGCTGCAGACCACCAATGAGCTCATCGCCGGAAGTGTCGGCGGCGCGGCACAGGTCCTCGTCGGACAGCCGCTCGACACCATCAAGACCAGAGCGCAGATCGCGCCGAGTAAGTGCTGCCGACCGCATCGGTTCGACATCACGCTGATTCGTCTCAGAGGGCATGTTTGTGCGTCAGCTCGGTACTCATACATGTGACGGGCTCAACCGACACCATATTTAGAAAGGCCCTATGGACATATTGACGCAGACAATCCGGAGGGAGGGCTTTTTCGCATTATACAAAGGTGCGTGTCAAGGCGAAAGCAAAGGGCTTCTACTCACGAGCCGGAATAGGCATGCTCAGCCCTCTATTGGGAATCGCGGGCGTCAACTCTCTACTCTTCGCGGCCTACGGAACCTCAAAGCGCATCATCTCACCGTATCCAGACCTTTCCCTGAAAGAGATCGCTGCGGCTGGTGGACTAGCAGGGGCTATCAACGCCGTCTTAGCAAGTCCAGGTCCGTTGTGTTTGCTATCACCATTGCACATCTATCTAAACTCAATGGCCATAGTGGAGATGTTCAAAGTCAGGATGCAGGGCCAGTACGGGGCTGCCACAGACAAGAAGCTCGGGACGGTCGCGCGCGAGATGTGGGCACAGTGGGGATTCCGCAAAGGCGTCATGCGTGGCTACTGGGTACTGCCCAGTCATTCCACTCACGTCGTATACTAACCGCATGTGTCCAGGTTACGGTGGCTCGCGAGATACCCGCGTATGCAGGGTGAGCGTCTTGTTCCTTCGGTCCCGTATGCGATGAACTCACCCATTGTCACAAGGTTCTATTCTGGTCAGTACTTCGCCCTTGCACCGAGTAGTCGGACTCACCCGCGCGTGTCGAGACAGCATTCGAGTTTTCCAAACGTAACTTTGCGAAGAAGTACGGGAAAGATCTTCCTGTATGGACATTACTAGCGAGCGGTGCCACTGGTGGGGTGCGTGTCGCCTTGCGTGCTCCGGACAGACTCGATTCTGACATTCCCACCTACAGTTGGCATACTGGTTGACGTCTTATCCCTTGGGTGCGTTGAACGGACTGTCTTGGCACATTACCCCTATCTGAGAGCATTATAGATGTCGTCAAATCGCGAGTGCAACTCAGGGAGACGCCTCCCGTCGGCTCACCAGTGCGATATATCACACACGAGCTTCGGACTATTGTGGCAGAATCTGGCTTGTAAGCATGTCCTATAAGCTACTATCACCTTGACTAAGTAACCGTATGCGCTACCTCAGCATTGGCCTCTTCCGTGGACTGTCACCTTCACGTGAGTAGACTCATACTGATGCCCCGCGCACTAATTAACCTCTACGCGTAGTCATTCGCAGGTAAGCTTCAGCCGGTTCATACCGTAGCGTGATCCAGGCTGAATAGTGTCTTTCAGTGTCCCTGCTGCCGGAAGCACCTTTGCTGCCTACGAACTGACCAGAGGTGCGTCGACGCTACATACCAGTTGCCGTGATCTTCCACTGATCTCGCATTTGTCTCCCATTAGAGTACCTGACACAAGTCACGGGCGTCTGAGCGATGTGTTCGTACCATATTCTGCGGTGTCACTCGCCCGTGTACCGTCCTCCTCAGAGTCAGCGTCCGAGTCCGGAAGCTGCCCGTACTTACTCTGCCCACGTTCAACTATCGGCGCTTTGCGGTGTACTGTCTACTTATCTCCCGAACTGTGTATACCCGATGTATACCTCGTGCCCGTCGAGCCACAAGCGCCACCGTGCTACCCGTTGAATGACATCCGCTTCCGATGAACATCGACAACAGTCGACAACTCCGCATGAAGCATGAGGCCACGAGGATCACAGGCGGAGTCGGCAACAAGCATACAACGCAACATCCGATGTAATTGCTGATCCGACGCTTTCCTTCGGCGGCGGCGGGTTCTCGGCATCAACACACTCAGTTCGCAGCCCGCAGCGTCTCGTGCATCTGCGTCTTGCTTCCCACCACATCGCACCGCGCGGGCTCGACAGCATCGTCGGAACAATCTATTCGATAGACGGGTCGGATAGACCACCCTCATATTCGAGAGTGAATCGACATCGGGGAGAGCTATACGTTATCAGCGCCTTTGCACGCTGTAGAGCCCGTCACGCACGGCTTTAGCGTCGGAAGCAACATGGGCGCACTTAACGCCGATTGTTGCGATCTTCTGGCACGTCAGGTTCTTGTTCTCAGCTCTCCAGCTTCGTCTGCTCGCGGGGTTTCCTGCTCCCTGCAGGTTGGGTGAACGTCGGCGACAGCCGACGCGGACGCGGCGTGAGGAGCGCAGCCTCACGGCCACGATTCGGGAGACAGGAACCCACGAGAGTGGTCTGGCTAGCGGGAAATGTGCAAATATATGTATTTGAAGTACGCTGGTAACATTACAGTGTGCGAGGCGAGTACGGTACGAGTCAGAGAAATTACGTGGGAGGGTAAGGGAGGGACAGAGAACGAGATATTAGGATGTGCGTAGAGTACGCGGAGACTCCAACGCGAAAATTGCGGCGGTGGTGGTCGAAAGGAAAGAAACGCGCAGGAAACGCCCGCGCCGCGCTCGGCTGGACGTAGGTGCGGTCTCAGAGCCTCGTGCCTCGACCCCTCGACCGACCGGGCCATTCCAGCTTCGTCTGCTCGCGGGGTTTCCTGCTCCCTGCAGGTTGGGTGAACGTCGGCGACAGCCGACGCGGACGCGGCGTGAGGAGCGCAGCCGCCTCCCCCGCAGAGCCGCATGGCGATACGCGGCCGCGAACGAGCGCCGCTCACCCAACCAGAGCCGATGCGGGTCGCACGACGGGTTGCCGCCCTGCCCCGAGGCCGGCCATATGCCGGGACGCGACCAGCTCGAAAGCGCGTATATACGCCTCATAGGCCAGCGATTTCCACCTCCCGGCAAGTCGTACGACTTCCGGGCTTACGCCCTGCGCGAGGTAGAATGAGGCGCCACCGATGCGAAATGAGTGGCCAAAGGCCGTGCCCCAGCCATGCCGCTCAGTTATCGCGTTGAGGCTCGCGAGAGCCGCGCTGCGCGTCATTGGGCGTATTTCTCCCGCTCTATCGACCCAGGAGAAGAGCGGGTCGTCTGCCTCTGCCGGGACGACACGTGCGAGGTTCTGCAGTGCCGCGATTGGGCAGTAATCGCCTTGCTCGGTCAAAAAGATCTTCTGGATCTCCCCGTTTTTGGCCGTCTTCGCCGTGGGCAGGTCGAGGCGCGCGTACGGCTTCCCGTCCAGATCGCGACCGAAGAAGACGTGCTTGCGGGCGAGCTTGGTCTCCGGGCTGTAGTCCTTGCGCGAGTCGACGGTTGCTTCGCCGAAGCGCATCATGCCCCAGAAGGCACATGTGGCAATTGCCCAGAGGCAGGCATCGTAGGGCTTGGATATGTCGAGGCTAGACCGGAGGGCTGAGAGCATGGGGAGGGTGACGGGTGGGCGTGGAGGGTGACTGCGCTTGACGAGCTGCATCTTCCGAAGACCGCGCAGGCAGAAATCGATATCCTTGTGATTCTGTTCCGAGAGCGGGTCGGGCCACCCTTGGATAATATGCCATGCACAGACCGACGAGAGGTACGATTTGACTGTTGGGATGCTGACAGGTTCGTAATATTCGCCTTGAGCGAAGGCGGGATCTGCCGGGTCCGGGTCTGCAGCCGACCACAGAGCGAACGAGTTTAGCACCGCGACGGAGGCAGGCAAGCGGGCTCTCTCAGGGATGGAGTGAATATCACAAAAGACATGGAATTTCCGCAGGCCCGAGCCGTAACCTGAACTAGTTTTCGGAGCGAGAGATTCATTTCGGGCACGCATATACAGATACTCGATAATCGCGATGGGCAGTACAGAGGAAGGAGGAGTGTTGACACCGCGCCACTTGTAGATACGTTCATTCGCAGGTACATCAGGCCGAAGCGGAGAAGGTCTGAGCGGGAGAGCTTTAAGGTTCACAATGGTTGCCGTGTCGCCCGCGCACTCGGCGGGAATGAGGCGTATCGCCGAGGTCTTCATGACCGTGGGACTAGCCAGCCAGCGAGATGCGGTGGCAGCGATATGTTCGAGTGCATGGACACTCCGGGAAAGCCGGCGAGGAAGGAGGGGATGTCGCCACGCGAGAGGGCGTCGGTGATGTTGTCGCGACTCGCAACGTACTCGGTCGAGAGCAGTACACCCTCTGCCGTGAGTAGCCGAAAGATGCTCTTCAGCACGTCGTTTGTGCTCGCGGAGCGCGAGCGACCCTTGTTCACGACTGCGACGACACCCATGTTGTCCGACCGCACTAAAATCCGCGAGCGGTGCACCGGCCGTGCCTTGAGCAGGTCGTGATGGATGGCCATACGCAGCCCGAGCTCGACTGCCACCGCCTCGGCCCACCCGATATCGCGGTCCGCCTTTGGGCCGACGGTGACGCCCCCCGCCCATTGCCATGCGGCCCAAAACGACCCTACGACGACGCCAATGCCCCAGGACGAGCTCGCGTCGCCCCACCAGCCGATGTCCAAGGGGGTGTCGTACGAGAGGGATATCTCGTTGGGGGTGGAGGAGAGAATGTCGAGAATCCATTCAATATCCTTCAGAACAGGGCCGGAAGGGTGGCGCTTAACGAGACCGTTCGTGAACTTGCGAGGGAAGGCAGAGATGGAGGGAAGGAAAGGGCGCACGAGGGGAAAAATCGTCGCCGCGTGGACGACTTTCCCGTGCAGTGAGTCAGCCTCGCGCGCGTCGAACCTGGCCCCAGGCACGAGCCATGACGACAGCAGGTCCCGCAAGGCCTGGAGCTTGTCTTCCGGCATCGAGACCGTCTTGCGCACGAGGTCCCAGATGAAACCGATGTACTTCTGGCGATACGCGAAGGAGCGCGTCTTGGCGACTGCCCAAGGGACACCGAGGACTTCCGTTAGGTGCGTGAAGTCGTGCTCGTCAAAGTCATCACCCGGCATCCGGAACACGACGAAATCGTCAACCCATTTGAGGACGATGCGGAAGCCCGAGGCCTTGTAGATGGCTACGAGCATGTCGGCGATTGCGCCGAAGATGCCCGAACTGGAGGCCATGCCAAAACAGGCGGCACGGTCCACGTACACCTTGCCACGCCACAGGATGCATAGCACGTGCTGCTGGTCGGGCCGAATCGGAGTGATACGATATGCCGCAGAAATATCGAAGGTGGCGGCCATGGAGCCTGCGGGTGCAGCGAGTACGGTGTCGGACATTGCCTTGAAATCGCCCCACTCGGTGAGGAAACGATCCCGATCGATAGCGACGTTCACGGCCTCGATAGGCTTGCCCTTGCGTGGGTGGGAGAGGTCGTTCACCATGCGATGCTTGTCGGTGCCCGGTTTAGGTACGAGGCCGAGGGGGTTGGTGCGGAAGGGCCCGATGACGTCTTCGAGCACAGGTGGGTCAAATGGACCAGCGTAACGGTTGGCAGCGAGCTCGCCAGCAATATATGAATCAATAAATGAAGGATCGAGATTAACAGAGTTGTGGTTATCAGGAGAGTAGGTACTTTTAAGCGACGTGTCCACCCCCGCATCAAACCCCGAGCGTAAACTGTCGACGACGTGCTTCCAATCATCGAACAGGTGAAGCTTGACCAGGAGAGCCTCGATGGCATCTGCATCGAGGGGCGTGACTACCTCGCGAGGGTCTTTAAGCGGAGATGGTGCAGGAGGCGGCGCCGTGGTCGTGGGCGTAGCAGTTCGTGCAGACGTGCTCGTTGCGACATTCGACCCCGAAGCGACAAGTGGCGTGCGAAGCCCAGTTGAAGCAGACAACCTGTCCACCGGGTCCGACAAGGGCATTGGGCGATCGCGCACCCTTGGCGAGCTTGCAGACGGGTTTGCCGGCCGGGGTGGTAGCTCCCGGGCCGGCGGGGCAGGTGATGGGCATGTGGCCGAGCTCGATGCAGCGAAAGCACTTCACGGTGCCGCGTGCGGGTGCCGGACGACTCGAGCCACCCGTGGTAGGCGGCGACGAGCGCGGGTTCCTGCGAGCGGCGGGGACGGGGACCTGAGCCGGGAACGCGGCATCTGCCGTCCGCTTCGCAGTAGCGACGAGCGTGAGGACTTCGGTGTTGAAAAGCGATAAATCGTGGCGCTTCTCCGCCGCATGGAGCTCGCGCTGCTTCATATCGTAGGCCAACGCCACCGAGAAACCGTGGGACTCGATGAAGCCTTCGCAGATCTCGAAATGCTTCTCGAACGCGTCCGCGGTGCCCTCGCCGGTGGACGCAGCCTCCTCCCGGAGCACGCGAACGTACACCTTCTTGGCGGAGTGCCAGCGCCGCTCGGAAATGTACCGCTCGGGGCCGCGCTCGAGGTCGCGCTCCTTCAGGGTGCCGTTCGGCTGGATCACCATCTCCGGCTCTCCCTGGTTGGTACGGGCACGGGCCTCCGAGTCGAGTGACGTGAGGGGGCAATAGCCCAGACGACGAATGGTTTTGCGCGCGGTTTCGCCGATGGCTGCAACGAGTGGTCAGCGTCGAGTTCGCCGAATAACGTGTCGAGTCGTGTCGAGGTCTTGCACGGCGAAACAAGTTTTCGCCGCGCGAAAACAAACGTTCGGGAACGGCCGGCCGCCGGCGGCGGCCGTCACGGCCGTCGGGAATAATGGGACGAGAAAATAAATTTGGTGAAGTGAGGAAAGAAAAAAAATTTCCGCGGCGCGACGTTCCTCGCGGCCGACTGTAGACTCTCGTAGAGAGTATCGGCCATTCAGACGTGCACCGCGAAGGGGAGAGTGAAGGAGGGAAGGGAGAAGTGAGAAGCGAGCTGACCTGTCGCCTGCGGGTTCGCCATGAAACCGGGTTGGATGACCGCGGGTGCGATACCTGCCTTGGCAGCGATCTGCTCGCGGCCTGCAGCAGCGGCGTCCTTGGACAAAAACATCGGCCCGAAGCCGGTAGGTGGCTGGCTCGCAGCAGATGCCAGGAGACGGGCGTTGATCTCGCGAAGCTCGCGCTCGAGCTCGGCCGCACGGGCGATGTCTCCAACGTCGGGTTGCTGCTGAGCTTGCTGCTGCTGGGCTTGCTGCTGCTGGGCTTGCTGCTGCTGGGCTTGTTGGTCACCAGGCTGTTGTTGCTGCTGCTGAGCCTGCTGACCGCCGGGCTGGTTGCCGGGCTGCTGCTGCTGAGGACCAGGTTGCTGCTGCTGCTGCGTCCCGGCCTGGCCCTGTGGGCCCGGTTGTCCACCCGCTGGTGCCGCACCGCCCGCGAGGTTGAGACCATTGATAGCAGCACCCGAAGCGTTAGCCATTAGAGAGAGTGTAGGATAAACAGAGAACGAGATATTAGGATGTGCGTAGAGTACGCGGAGACTCCAACGCGAA